ATCTTTGACTGTTAATTTATTTTTCTCACTGCCAACTTTGGTGATGAAAATTACTAGTTACAAACCAAATTCATTCATTGGCACCATCTAGTTTCATACTAAGTAGATCTTGTTCAAAATACATAAAACACTCAAACACACAATCAATATTAATGTAAAGAAATGTTTGCATCAAACAAGAATCGAACCCGCTACCATCAGAAGTAAATCGATGTGAGATGTAATAAAACGCTCGACGACAGAGGACGTCATAAATATTATTAGTGTTATGTTTACCGCGAATATTTAAAAAAAAATCAGTTGAGGTACCTACCTCAACTGATTTTTTTTAGGTAGGTCCTCTACTTAGAGGACCTACCTAAAATGTACCTATATAATATTACGTATACACATTTACATATAATGTATAGTAATATTTAAAAACAATATACGCGGAAAATTTTAAATTTGGAACAAGCAATGAATAGAATAACATTGCCATTAAGCCGGTTTCGCGCCATAAATAACGATATTTTTAACTGTTACAGGTTTTTTAACCTCAAAATAAAATACTAGAGTCTTTTCGCGGTTTTCCCCCGCGTACAGTGTTCTTTAACCTCAATTTTGTGATTAATAGACGAATTCTATTAAAATGTGCTCATAAAAAAATAATCCAAAATTATTCAAACTCGTTCTAGAATATAAAAAAAGATCTTTCAGTATACGTAATATTTGTGAAAATACTGGGCAAGGAAGCATTACATCTCAATCAGGGACGAAGCGGTTTAGCACTCGGCCTTATTTCCAATAATCGTAGGTTCTATTCATGAGTATGATTATTTGTATCGGTCTGGGTGTTTTCTATGTATTTCCAAAAGAAAATGTATCTGTTGTCCAATACCCATAACGTAAGCTCTGCTTAGCTTGACACATTTGATTTTAGACTATATATATTTATTAATATATATATAAAACCTAAAATTAAAAAGCTTAAAAAATATAATATAATAACTAAAATATATTATTAAAAGGGGTCCCTTTAGGCAAAGTTCCGAAGATACTGGCAGCGTTCCCTCTTTGAATAGCTAGACTAATTTCTTTGTCCAAGGTAGCTGCCAGCTCTTCGGTCTTCTGTGATGTATGATATTTATGATAAGAAGTATTATCCATCACATTTAAAATTAGTGTTCTTGTTGCTAAGTAACAGTTGTATCTCACATGCAACTGGCATAAAAACCAGATTAAATCATATTTACTGCTGTATATTCAGTGGACATACAGCATAGAATAGAATATAGTTACTGCACTAGATGGCGCTGTGTAAATTCTCCAGTTTTTATTATTATTTTAGTTTCTTATTTATTTAAAAATGTAACAAACTTCCATTATCAAATTATGGAATACAAAGAAACACTTCTCTAAAATCACTCTATCTATAAAAAAAACATTACAAAATCCATTGCGTAGCTTTAAAGATTTAAGCATACATAGGGACAGACAGTGACAGCGACTTTGTTTTATACTATGTAATGTGTCTAGTTTCATTTTAAAAATATACTAAACTTCTATTGTTAAATTGTGGAATGCATATAAATAATTGAATTATGAATGACCAATGGAGATTAATATAGTTAAGGTCATATTTCCGTGAGACATAGCTGACCACCCCGATCAACACGACACCACCAAAAACGTTTCGGACTTTAATAAATTAGTCTTCAATGAATTACTGTCGTCTCGCGACCTTTCGGATAAATGAAATACGGAAGCGGAAATGCCCTTTGCGTTTCTAAAAGGTGTTGCGAATATTTAGCGATAGTCATGCTTAGTATCAATCATTATTTTATGACCATCAGGTGTCTTGTTATAATATGTAATTTTTTATTATGTATATTATATTGTAATTACCAACTCCTTAGTTTGTAACGCTGTGTTTAGAACTTAAAACATACGATACAAAATGTACCAACCCAAGGAGATTTTGTACGATTTCGTCCACGTGTGATTACCTCCAACTTATTTCTATCGCTAAGCACTTCTGCAAACTATCATTGTAATTAATTTTAATATCTAAATAAATAAAATAAAAATTTCTAAACCTTCAAATGTATGTTTATATATATAATATTATAAGACGTTATAAAGTTATAAAAATAATTATGATGATGATGCTCTTCAATATTGAAATGGCCGCTATTTACTACATACATATGAATATAAATAAGGTACGTAGATCAAAATAACATTTTTTTAATTTTTGTCTGTCTCTCTGTCTCATGTTTGTTCCGGGTAATCTCTGAAATGGGTGGACCTCTTTGACGGGACTTTTTTGACAGGTAGCTGATGTAATAAGGAGTAACTTAGGCTACTTTTATTTTAGAAAAATATAGTTAAATTCCACGCGGACGAAGTCGCGGCTACAACTAGTTTTAAAATAAAAAAAAATGTCACAAGGATATTATTTTAAGTAACAAAACCACACCTGTTCCTGTATCTCAGAGAGGTTGGCCGCATTGGGCCGGCACAGTGTAATGACCCGTACGAAGTAAACCAAAACAGGCTTGGGAAAGTAACAAGATCCGGTGACCTCTGTGCTCTGTTACTTCCGAACTGTACTATAAATAATGTTCGCAAGCATATTTTGTTTCATAAAAACCAACCATCAATCATGAATAAAATTAATATGATAAATACACGGTCGTATCCGTTCTAATTAATATGTGAAGAACTTTGTACCCCGTTTCACGAAATATGTGCGGACGGAGAAGTATGGAATGAAATAGTCACATACTGTAGTTTTGTATTTTATATAAAGAAGAAGCTAATATTTTTTTACGATTATTTTTATCAATAAAAAATGCATAACACAATATTACGTATTTCTCAATCACACTCATACAATTATACCCTTTGACAATAGAACTTTAATAACGTTCAACCATTATAATTTTAACTAGGTTTTGCCCGCTGCTTCGCTCGCGATAGTCTATCCCCTTAGGGGTGAAATTTATGAAAATCCTTTCTTAAGGGATGCCTACGTCATAGTAGCTTTATGCATGCAAAGTCTCAGCCCTATCGGTTTAAAATTGACAAAGTTTGGTACAAACTTTCATCCTCTATTTTATCCCCTTGGGGGTAGAATTAATCAAAATCCTTTCTTAGCGGGTGCCTACGTCATAACATCTATCTGCGTGCTAAATTTCAGCCCGATCCGTCCAGTGGTTTGGGCTGTGCGTTGATAGATCACTATGTCAGTCACCTCTGAGTTATATATATTTAGATTAATTATGGTCGAATCTCAAGCGTTAGGTGACCACTAGTATAAGTAAAAGAGCTATTATTTTTATGTAAGTAGAATAACAAACAAGCTGCGAGGAACCTGATGATAAGTGAATATTACGTTATCATGTGACAGCCGTGATGGAATGGCAACTCACGTGTTGCTATTTCGAAGGACTAAGATGTCCCGTATTATTTAATTTGACTCCGTAAGAAAAGATTAAATTGAGGTATCCAGTAGCGTTGCCAGACGTCCCGCATTTTAGGCAATGTCCCAGCGGGACTGACTCTGTCCCGTATTAGAATCGTGCTCCGTTTTTTTTATTAAATCGATCGATCTACGCTAGACAAAATACTCACGCACGCAACCTTCGTACCTCTAATTTAATAAGAGACGAGTTGAGGACCATTTTTAATTACGATTATAATTGTATTTATTTTTATAAATATGTTAAAACCAATAAAAATATGTTAAAACTGACCTGCTCCTCAGAAAAATATATAAAAAAACTAGCTGTCCCGGCAAACGTAGTTTTGCCATATAAATTAATAACGCTATAAAAAAATAGGGGTTGGTGCTAGAAGGGTGAAAATTTAGGATTGTATGTATTTTTGTATGTTGTATCATAAAAAAATAGAAACTAAATATTTTGTCTAAAAAATAAAAAATAAAAGTTTAGGAGTAGACTACCCCTACATTTAGGGGGATGAAAAATAGATGTTGGCCGATTCTCAGACCTACTCAATACGCTCACAAAATTTCATGAGAATCGGTCAAGCCGTTTCCGAGGAGTATGGGAACGAAAACTGACACGAGAATTTTATATATAAGATAAAGAATATCACTATATAATTTTGTTTTTTTATTTTTCTCGGGTAAAAAACTAATTTTCCGTATTTTTTCCTATTTAAGCGTTTGTCCCTTATAGGCTGAAAAAAAAATTGGCAACTCTAGTACCCATACAATTTTTATACTTGCATATTCGTATATCAATTAAGAATTCACATTTCCCTTTATTTCTAACCCCTAACTTGATCACGACTTAAACATCTGTTTTTAATTGTTTCTAAATTATTAAAAATATAAAACACAATGTCTATTTTAACTTCAATTTATATAAAGATAATAATATCTACAGATAAGTTACACAACGCCATCTAGTCCCAAGCTAACCAGAACTTGTGTTATGGGTACTAGATAACTAATATAAATCTATACATATAAATAAAATGAAAGTGTCTGTTTGTAATAATGAAATAATCGTTACTTACTACAAGCATATGAATATGAATATAAATACGATATATACACCAAAGTATAATTTTTACTACTTTTGTCTGTCTGTCTGTCGGCTAATCTCTGAAATGGCTGGACCGATTTGGACGGGACTTTTTTTGGCAGGCAACTCATGTAATAAGGAGTAACTTAGGCTACTTTTATTTTAGAAAAAAAGTCTAATTCCACGAGGACTAACTCACGAGTACAGCTTGTACATATATATTTTTGTAAATACATATATAATATATATAGAACACATCCAGAATATACTCGAATACAAATGTTTGTACCTTACGAGGAATCGACCTCGCGACAATCAGAGGTAAAGCGGTGTAGACCGCTAGACCCGTTGGTCTAGCGGTCTTAGGCTCTCTGTTATACTACTAATTTGGAGCTGAACCTCATCGAAAAATGTTATCTTTTCAAAACTATTTTTTTTTAATATAATCTATATTTGTTCCAGGTCTGTTCCTGCTACTGATGCTTGGTTTCTTTGCGCTGGGAACAGGCTGTTTTATCTTCTTCGCACACCCTTACGACTTTTTCTTCAATCAGGTAATTATTAATTTTATTTATTGAATTAATTACTGAGTTTCTTAATAGTAATTGTGATTCGAGTTGTATCGATATTTATATGATTATTTAGTTAAAGTACGAGTATTAGAAGTAACTATAGTTGATATTATATAAATAAATTTTTAAAAATTTATAAAAATAATTATGCAATAATTGAAAAAACTTTTTTTTTAATCTAAGTTACTAAACAGATGATTAACGTTACAATTTTTATCTGTCTATCTGTCTGTCTGTTTGTTCCGGCTAATCTCTGAAATGGCTGGACCGATTTTGACGGGACAATTTTGGGCAGGTAGCTAACTAATGCAATAAGAAGTAACATAGGCTACTTTTATTTTAAATATATTCTTTTAGAAAAATAAAGTTAAGTTCCACGCGGATGAAGTCGCGGTGCAGATAGTTATTAGTATAATGATAAATTGCGGCCAACTGTCAATAACTATAAATAAACTTTGAACGTTTTAATTTTTAATTACACAAATATAGTTAAACACGTAGCTAACAATGTATAATATAATATTGATTATTATAATGAATGCATTTTAAATGTTAAGTAAAACGGTAAAAAATCATTTTCTGCTCAGGAATCCATTATTAGTAGACTCTATCCTCGCTGACTATATTCGATATTACAAAAGAAACAATGAGCTTGAAAAAATATAGTTTTTACAGTAACTTTTTTTTAATGGTTGATCTTCAATATTACAAAAGAATTAAAACAATGAGCTTGAAAAAATATATTTCTTCAAGTAACTTTTTTTTATAATCGATACTGGAATGGGTCACCCGCCCGGGCTAACGGTTTGTGCTGGTACTAGTGGAGGATAATAAGATGAGCATAAGGTCAGGTTAGTTGTCCCATCATGACCATTTCACCAGGAACTTGTCATGATGGTTTCCAGCGGTTTCCCCCTGTAAAGGTAACCTGAAATGGTACATTGCTAGTAATGGGGTCATCACTTCACACTATAACCCTTCCCACCTCCTTTTATTTTCAAGTAACTCTAATTGCAAACGAGCTGATTGCCAAAAGTGATGGTACCACGTATTTTAAGTCTTTTTTAGTTTCTTAAGAAATTTCCATAGAGTATTAGAAAAGCAATGTTTTTTTTTGTGTTTGTAATGCTGATGCTGCAAAAAGCTGACGACCCATGTTTTTATGCTATAACCGTCGCCTATATACAGTTACACATTAACATCACTACAGACATCACGATATCATGTAAAACCCATGATACCACTCACTCTATACCATTCCAAACGACTATGATGCCATGCCTCTTATCTCTTATCCTGTAATTTTGATTATCACACAATTCAACAGTAAACAGTTTACAAAGTAGGCTGCTTGGCTGAAATAGGTCAGACTGACCCGCAAACATTTTTACAGTCAACCATTATTTTTATTTTAATGAAATAAAAAAAAGTTTAGTAAGTTGTACTCAAGTTATAGCTTGACCAAGTAAAATAGAGAATAATTTAATCGCCGAAGAGAAGATGGATCTGTCGTTAATAGTACTAAAACAGATGGGCCAAAATAGATGCGTTTTTTTATTTGACAAAGAAAGTTTTCTTAAGGTACAATTTATTGAATTTCTATATCAATTCGGGGTTAATTTAAAATGATTTAATGTAATTTATTTTTATTTGTCATTAATATTCATTATAATATAAGTGTATCAGTAAACACGTTTGCCGTTCCCTTCGTATAAAAAGTATTTACGTCAACAGTCCACTACAAGTAAGCGGTGTTTTATACTTGTATATATACATGTATGGCAATTAAATTAACATACGACGCTATCAATTTTTTTTTCATCGAATTAATAAATAATCTTATATTTGACGTATGACAAAAAAATACAAAATTAATTATTTATATTGCATATTAGATTCACAACTTTCTTTAGCTTTGATAGGAACAGCAACATATTTTGTGATAATTTCAGCATCTCCAATTCTTTTTACGTGATACAATAACGAACATACAGATCGATTTTACCTCGTAAAGCTTTTATGCTGTGTGAGGTACTACTGTTTCTGTTTTATATGCAGTTTAAGAGACTCGTTTCTTTATAGTTTTGTTTTCTAACAGTGTACGAACTCAAATGTATGTGTATCTATTTCTTTTGTTCTGGCAATAAATGAATTCTTATTTTAATCTCAGGACAATTCACACAGCGCCATCTAGACCCAAGTTAAGCTAGCTAAAGCTTGTGTTAGCTTAGCTTGTGTTGTGGGATAACTGATACATATACATAGATATTTTGTTTGTAAATACATACATATTATACATAGAAAACACCCAGACCGATACAAACAATCATACTCATCAATACAAATGTTTGTGCCGTGCGAGGAATCGTACCCACGACCATCGGTCTTAAAGCGGTGTGCTTGACCGCCAGATCACCGAGGTTGTCTATGTATATACATAAAGAAGATAAATATAAATACAAAGATAATAATGGCTTGTGTCTTTTGCAGAAAGTCGTTTTTCAAGATGGCGGCGAAATCTTGGAGATGTGGCGGACTCCAGAAGTGGAACTATTCTGCCGGGTGTTTCTCTTCAACGTCACAAACGCAGAAGAATACATGGCGGGCATAGACAAAAAGATAAAAGTCAAAGAAGTTGGCCCCTATGTATACAAGTAGGTCACATGTTTTTTTATTTTTTTTATAAGGTTGTATGGACTATTGTCAGATGTTTGTAGCACCTGTAGCACAGCGACCTACATACATAGATCTATAGTGCTCGCCCTTTTTCAAAGTCACATGTTAACTCGACTGAAAAAATTTAGTATATTGTTTTCAAATCAATATATTTATTTTATTTGGGATACAGATATTCTCGATATATTATGTTATGTTACTTTTATTATTATTATTATATGATATCTATACTTCTGTACATAAGTGCGTTGGAAATGTTAATTAAAACATTGGGACTTCGAAACGTATAATTTATATATATTATTATATATATTATTATATATATGTATATAATAATAATAATAATAAACGTCTAATTTATAAAATACAGACTAATGTTTAAATTAAACCTAATTTAAACATTGATCCATATGCAGTCCCAAAATAAACCTACCTTGTACTATGAGTATAAAACAACTAACACATATACCTGTTTAAATATATACATAATAGATATGAAAAACACTTAGTTCAATACAAATAGATAATGCATACAAATGTTTGTTTGGACGGGGATCGAACCCACGAAGGTGAGGTGTGTGCTAAACCAACACACCACTGAGGCCGTCACTCAAAGCTTTCGCAGAATATTTTTGAATTATCCAAATCTTATATATATAAAATATATAATTATACAACTACCAATTTCAAGCACAAAAAGTCATTTAACCGTACAAATTTATTATACGCCGTCCAATTTAAATATGAATCGAAATGAGCAGTGGTTCGAACCCCTAGCAGTGCCCTCAGACTATCAGTCAGGCAGAAGTTGGCGCTCAGTTGCTCCATAAGTCTTTCCTTTGGTTTGATGTACCATCTGCACTCACCCCTATCGTCCGGTGAACAGCATTAGAGTAGATTGAAAAAAATATATATTATGTATTTTATTACAGGGAAGGATTTGAGCATAATATAACTAGGTTCAATGACAACGGCACCATGTCAGTTACACCCCTACATCCCCTCACTTGGGTGGCCGAGATGTCGGAAGGACATAAAGAAACCGACATCCTGTACTTACCTCATATAGCCTTACTGGTGAGTATGCTTCAACCAATTTCATACTTTATTATGAAGAGTTTAAGGGTATTTTTTAAATAATAATGATCCGCAGATCTATAATACTGTATTGTAAATAATTGTCTTTCTGATATATATACATTTCACTATTTACTTAGATAAATATATTTAAAATATGTCATAAATTAATAATATACTTTTTATTTATTTTAACCATTAAAAAACATCAATATTGTAAATTAAATCCTAATTATTCGTTTTATATTAATTTAAATATAATTAGTGGTGTAACCAATATTGAAGATAAAAACAATCGTATTTTCTAGAACACCGAATTATCTATTTGAAATTTACGAAAAAAATCACTAAAAAAGGTTTCATTTAAAATAATTTTCATTGGTGTTTCCAACAGTCACAAGACCTTATGTATAAAAATGCATTCAGAAAGTAACTTAAGACCTTTTTAAAAGAATTCTAGAACTTTCGGATATGCAGCAGCTATATACATTATGGATACCTCAGGAAAGGAAGTACTTAATTGAATTAGGTATTTCTATTTGAATAAATACCAACATGGGTGTCGCAATAACCGTGCCCAACGGCCGGTGCACTAGCGATGCATTTTAGCAACATTCCTGACATTACGAAACTTCCCAACGTGTGTTGAAAACCAAAGTTTATTGGACACACCTATGAGCAATTACGAATGTTCTGGAAGCTTTATAATGGCACATACATATTAGCTTTATACACGTACCTTTTCTTAGATCGATAGATAAGATAGACGATAGTCTAAACGGCGTAGCGGTTTCAGAGGAGCTTCCTCCCTTACATTAAAGATTGTAAAATGAACTACGTGCCGAGGTTTTCTCATGAAACTATATGAGGGTTTAAGAAGAGTATATGAAGGTTTCTTAAGGATCTGCAGCGCGGACTAAACACCCTTGGTGTTTCAGGAGTACATTAAGGTTTCTTAATGGTCGGCAACGCGCACGTGATTCTCCAGGTGTTTCAAGCGTCCATAGGCTAAATCGTTTACCATCAGATGGGCCGTATGCTTGTTTTCCATCTATGTAGTATAAAATTATAAAAAATAAAAGCGCATCCCTTACTTCCGATGATTCCGCGCACGGTAGAAACATTTATATACATTCACTAATTCATTAGTCAAAATATTAAATACATAATCAACAAAATAATTAATTAATTAAGTAACGAAATAAGATTAAATCAGTAGTACTGAGTGGCACTGAGCAGACTAGCTTCTACAAGCAGCACTCGTTCACGAGTATGACGAGCCAGCCATCACTGCGCAACAAATGTTTAACGTAATTTTTGAGCTATATTTGACAAAATATTCTGTAAAAATTTCTTCTGCTTGACATAACACACACATAAACAGTTTTCGCCTCGTCTCGTAATTTTAATATTTTATTATATTAAAATTACGAGACGAGATACAACCTTTTATGGATTAAGTTTATCTATAGATAAAGATAAACCATTAAAGGTTTAGTAATTTAATAATTTTCTAAAAACATATCATTCTCGTTAAGAATATATAAATAGACAATTTTCACCTCGTTTCGATTTTACTATTGCATTTTAGGTACAATTAGTTTAGTACAATTTTAGGTACAACCTTTTAAGGATTATATTTATCTATAGATAAAGATAAAGATAAACCATAAAAGGTTTAGTAAGTTAATAATTTATTACAAACACATCTCCCTTCGTACTTCTAAATACAACACTTTTTCTTAAGTTATTTCTAAGCCTTTTCCAAGTGTTATATTGACTGATATAATATTGACAATCAGAAGAAGGCCGACACCAAAAAAACTTGTATGGCGGTTTTTACTTCAAACAGACCGTGTGATGGCAAACACCGAAAACAAACACAACAGCTATTGTAGTAACTATTTCATTAAACAAAAAGAGGCCTCTGCTTTTTTTTTTTAATGAGCCGTTTAAAATTGCGAAGTGCTTGCAAAATTCTTAGCGAATTTTAATCTCAGGATAATTCATACAGCGCCATCTAGTCCCAAGTAAAGCTAGCTAAAGCTTATGTTGTGAGCACTAGACAACTGATACAAATACATAGATATATTTTTTTTTTCGTAAATACATACATATTATACATAGAAAACACCCAGACCGATACAAACAATCATACTCATGAATACAAATATTTGTGCCGTGCGAGAATCGAACCCGCGACCATAGAACGTAAAGCGGTGTGCTAAACCACTAGACCACCGAGGTCGTCGGACATATATTTTTATACTATGTAATATATATGTTTTACAATATGTAAAGAACATAGTATTAAACAAATTCTCGACCATAGTCTGTGCGCTTATATCTTTTAAATTACGCAAAGGATTTTAATGTAGTTTTCAGCAGTAGGTTGAGTGAGTCAAGATCAAGGTTTATATGTATAATATAAATATAATTTACACTACAAATAAGCCGAGAAAATTAAAGATTTGTAATGAAACCCGGGCGTTGTTAGTTCGAACTATAACTGAATGAATTTCGATGATCCTTTTTTTAATGATGCATAAACCATTAGCGCATTCGGGTGCACCATTCCATTATTGTCTACATAAAAAAAAATACTAATATAGGTATATGTTTAGGTAATATGTACACACACAAGGTAACCCGGTTATTGTTATAATTACAATCATATCTATTACGTATTATTATTCACACATAAAAACGTTTATTGCTAATATTATTAACTCCAGATTTATGTTCATTTGATTTGCGCAAAACGGATAAACTAAGATTAACTATTGCAAAATTATTAACATAATCCATAAAAGTGTAGACTTTAATGTAATGTACGTTCTTGACATTTTGTGGCCACTTAGGTATCTGCGCGATTTGCCATTTGATAGCAAATCCTTTCAAATCAATCTAGGGTTAGGCTCATTGCGTGAAAGAATATCAATATAACATTTATTTATTTATTTATTTAACTTTAATGCACACAATATAATATATAGTATAGTACATTTGGCGGACTTAACACCATGCGGCAATAACATCAATAATCACAACAAATGTCACCTAACTTTGTTATTATTTTAACGCGTTTGATAAAAATATATACTAATTTGGTAGGAGGCAACAACTACAATGGTATTTTTTTTAATAGATGAGTATGGTAAGGTGTTCCCTTTGCGCTTATTGATGATAGGATAATCGGGATAATAGGAGCATGAAGAGATCTATTACACCACCGTGATAAATTCTCTATGAATTTATCACCTTATAGAATAGAATCTCGTGGAGATCAACCTGACTCGGCTTTATGTTACTTGGTTGACACAATAAGTAGTCCTTTTCTCTCCTGACGGCAAAGTTACAATATTTTGTTTAAAAATCTAACTTACTAGGTATAAGGAAAAAACAAGTTTGTACCCGGCGAGTAATCGAACCCTCTTACAGTGGTCATAAAGTGTGTGTTAAACCACTAAACCACGGGGCCGCTCTTCAACTTCAACAAAATATATTTTACAAAAGAACCTGCTTGGCAAACGAAATACGTTAAATGCAGTTACCCACGCAAGTGATTTTGTACAAAAATCTACCTAAAATCTAATAAAATCATTATAATCCATGAAAAAATTGCTTATTTTGCCTATTTTTTTCAGAGTATCGCTAACGTTGTCGCCCCGAAAGGATTTTTGACGCGTTTAGGACTAAACAATATCATCACGCTGACAAACAGTCAGCCGCTGGTGAAGATGACAGCTCGCGAGTTCATGATGGGCTACGAGTCCAGGCTGATGACTTTGGGCAGCACTTTCTTGCCTGGCTGGATCAGTTTTGATAAACTGGGCCTTATTGATAGGGTAAGTCTTTATTCTAACTATAGACCAGATGCTATGAAAGCGTAAATTACCGTTAAAAGTATTATATCTTTTGCCAAGCTGAAAAAGAAATGCCACTACACATCCCATGTGGCTGTAGCCCACTCATGCGTAAATTAATATCTCCTTTGAAATGTATACAGTTTATCTTGAGGAGATAAAAACCATCGCTTCTAAGAATATTCCTCAATTTTTATCACTGATGGGTACCGAACTTTGATAAAGGGGGAGCACAGCAGATGTATATAGGTCACAGTGCTACAGGTCTAAAGTACCTGACAAGAAAATATACATCTTAATTATGAATTTATTGGTCCCACTCTATCCTGGAAATGCTGCACCTACATAGTATATCAGCGTTAAGTGACAATAATTTCCATATTACCGCATCCACTACGTGACTAAAAAGGTTGACGATCTTTATGCATGCTTTATTTTATATTCTTTTCATTCAGATGTACGATTTTGATGGAGATTTCGAGACGGTATACACAGGAGAAACAGATATCCGTTTCGCCGGTCTCATCGATACCTACAGGGGTTCTACTGATCTTCCACAATGGCAAGGAAAACATTGCTCCAACGTGCAGAATGCCTCAGACGCTACAAAATTCATGGGAGGAGTAGGCAGGAATGATAGTATTCTGTTCTTCAGGAAGAGCATGTGTCGCAGTGCATTACTGGTATGTACTAGCTACGTGTCTTTTTTTATACTACAGCAGACTGAGTCACGCGTAATAGCTAGTATTTTACATTAATTTACAATGTGTTTAGTGTAAGTGCAATGTATATATGTAGGTTGCAAACAATTTAAATCGAATCCGTTCAGTACTTTTTAAATTAAAGGATAAAATACATGCATTCGACGGCCTCGAGGTTTTAGGTGGTCAGCATACCGTTTTACTTCCGTTGGTTGCATGTTGGATTGCTCAGTTTGTATTCAGGAGTACAATTGTTTGTTCTTTAGGTTTGTTGTGTTTTTTCGAGTTGTCCCCCACGACACGAACTCGGCTTATCTTAGTTTTAATGAACCTGTTACCCATCCTAACAAACATTAGACTTCACAATATTAATACGATTTTAAGCTATATGGCTTTAAACCCGTATGAAGCACTATCAAAGATTTTTATGTCAACTTAAAAAAGCAACTTCAGGCCAGACGGTTATCTCATGCCATCAGATATAAAATGGCCTAATGCATGAATAGGACCTCACATGTCACGTCATATGAAGACCGCCATCTTTCCCATGCGTTGCCATTCCAAAAAACACTATAAAAATATTTTTTTTTATAGTTCTTTATTCCATAGACCCCTTATTTCCATAGACTAAAGGTCCATGCCGTTTTTTGCAATTACTTTTTTTAATCGGTTCGTTCTATTTTTTTTCCTCCCCTTTATTGCTCCGCGAATAATATGCAATGTGTTTTTTAATTTTATTTTTCTTTCCTTTTTTCTCTTTTGTCTATTTTTTATTTATATTTCATTTTATTAAAAAAAAAACTAAATATATTAGTCAAATTAAGTTAGTCGACTCCGGAAATGGCTCTAGTAGATACAACGTATGGTTTTTTAGTTGATAACAATCCCCCACACCCTCTTAACACCCTTCCATCGGGGGTAGACTATCTTTTAAAGATTTTTCCACACGATAATTAAAAAAGAATGAAGTCTGTAATGTAAACAAACAATTTCTGCGGTGCGTTTATAATATAATTAATGTTATTTCAAGGTAAGCATACGTAACAGTAATTCTATACTTTTATAATTGTGCAATATCATCTAATTATTTGATGCAATTCCACTGTATTTAGTGTATATCATAATATAATCTTGTGTGTATGTTATACACAATCAAGATAGGAATATTGTTCTAGAACTTTCACATAATGGTCGTGATTATTCAGCAAGTAATCGCTACATTTTAATAGCATACAAATTACCGAAGTGTAATTTGAACAAAGTCTATATGAATGTACGTTTTATGTAATATTATCTTATCTGTAGTTGTAGTTATTTCAATCGCCAAGCAGCTTGCTTTGTAAGCAGAGATTTAGTTGTAGGGCGCCATTAGGCAGTAAAATTACAAAATAAAAGGCATACATATTATCATTTATAAAAAAAAAAGAATCATGCATCATTCCACAGGACTAAAATGACAAGTCCTCTCGAATGATGCATTATTTTGTTTTTTTTTTTATGAACTTCGTCCGCGTGGAAATAAAATTTATTTTTCTAAAATAAAAGAATTATTCTAAAATGAAAGTAGTCTAAGTTACTCCTTATTACATCGGCTACCTACCAAAAAAAGTCCCGTCAAAATCTGTCAATGTATGTAATATTCACAAAACAAATATATTACTCTGATTAGTTTGAGAATATATGACGCTGTGTGAATTATCCATAGCTATTATTATTTATACATACAAATAAAATTAGATTGCATGTTTGTAATATTGAAATAACCATTTGTTACTACATGCATATGAATATAAGTACGGTACATACACCAAAATAATTTTATTTTACAATTTTTGTCTGTCTGTCTGTTTGTTCCGGATGTGGTATTCTTATCCCTGAAATGGCTAGACCGTTTTTGACGGAACTTTTATTGGCAGATAGCTGATATAATAAGGAGTAACTTGGGCTACCTTTATTTTAGAAAATTAAACTTAAATTCCACACAGATAAAGTCGCGTGTACAGCTAGTTTATTCAATTTTATTCAGTTTATTCAATTCAAAGAAATAGATGTTTTATTAATTATCATCGTTTAATTATCTCTAATAGATTTGTAAATACAAAATGTACACGCGTAAGATGTCGCAGGTACTTACTAATAATAAATATTATGTTAAACTGAACTCAGGTTGTAGCCGGTAGATCTCGTTTGTCTTATTATCATTAATTATCATTATGTATGAAGTACCTTGTAATAACATAACATGAATCACAATCAGTCACACATCAGTAAATTGATATAATAACAATATAGTTGACATATTATTTATTCCATTCGTCTTATGAATTTGCTGACGTCTTTTACTGTTTTCATAGTTTCTTTTTTTATCGAACTTCTAATGCTGTTAGCTGTAGCTGGCCTTTACAGCTTCACTAAACGATAAGGGGCGAGTGCAGAGAGCACTCTTAACCCGCGGACGCACTTATGAAGCGGCTGAAAGCCAACTCCTGCCTGACGGATAGGATTTTAACCTTAGCGGAGGCCGTCGTAATTTCAATCCTTGTAATTGGATAGAGGATAAACCGGAGGGAAACTTTTCTAGTGTTTATAATAATGATATTAATACAATAACTCAGTACAAGTCACATTTTAAGTCTCAAACTAAGCAGTGCTTGGGTTATGGATACTAGGTAACTCATAGAAATACATACATAATGCATTGTACATGGAAAACACCCAGATCGATACAAACTGTTATACTTATGAATAAATTCAAATTCAAAAATCATTTATTCATGTAGGACATTTAAGCCGCTCATGAACGTCAAGTTTTTATATTATAATTTTTTTTCTCTACTGTCCAGTTCGGTATATAGATCCAATTGAGAAGAACTGGCAAGAAACTCAATTGAATTACTTTTTTTTAAAAGCCAGTTTATTTACAATGCCCTACGCATTGTAAATAAACTGGCTTTTAAAAATATTTTTATATTAACTTATTTATTTATATAGGTGTCTATGTCTAATATTAAACGAAAATCCCGAACATGAAAACTATTGCCATGCACGCTCGTCATTCAAGTAATTGTTTAGTGAGTAAATACAAATGTTTTGGGGTTTTAGTGGGTAAGAGTCCCAGACTACCTCCCGCACTCTCTCATATAGGCAGGCTATTCAAGTATATTCTTCATTTCAGATCCCAGTGGAGGAAGGCGTGAGGAATGGACTCGATGCGTACATGTACACGTTCCCTGAAAACATGCTGGATAATGGCAAATATATAGAAGAAAATAAATGCTACTGCAGGAAAGGTAATTCTTTAAAAAAGTAAACATTGTTCTCAAAATACCAGTGAAAATCTAATCTTTGCTTTTATAAAATTTGATTTTTTATTTTTTAATTTGGTTCTTCTGTCGAAGTTGATTAGTTACATGAATGCAGAAATATAATAATTTGATGTGAGGGAGTGAATGACGCTACTTATAAGCTAAGTTCTATAACCCTCTTGATTTATATTACATTCCAGTGGCCCCTTGGAGTCCTTCGTTAAAATATCCAACTCACAATTACTAAAAAAACTTTGAGGAAGTACAACATACCTACTATTAAAGTATCTACAAGAAATGCTATTCAATAACCAGTATTGTACTGTAACGGAATCACTAAGCTTTAAATTTTACGCAGTAAATAATTGTTAAATTGAAAAAACATAAATGAATAATTAACATGATTCCAGGCAAATGTCTTCCCGCTGGACTCATTGATGTCACGGACTGCTACTATGGGTTCCCCATTGCTCTCTCCTACCCTCACTTCTACCAGGGAGACAATATCCTCTTCAGCAAAGTCGAAGGCCTAACTCCTAATGAAAAAGATCATAAAACTAGGTAAGTGATAGAACATTGTTTTAGCAGTCTCTTCATTTATAGTAGAAATAGCGATTCGTCTCAGCTTTGCACGGATGAATAACATCTTTTAGTTTATCGGCTTATTCTGTGCTGTAACACAAATGTGTTATATATAGTACATAAACCTTCCTCTTGTATCAGTCTATCTATTACTGAAAAATGTGTTAAATCCGATGCATCGTTTAAAAGATATCAGCAAATAGACAGCGACGGCAATTTTTTTATAGTTTGTAAACGATATGGTGACTTATCAGTCATACTTTCATAAACGAGTGCAGTAATTGATCTTTGTTCACTGCGACTTAATTTTGTGGATTTACTATGTGTGTGATATGCAAATGGTAAGGCCATTTAGATTCCATATTTTCTTAAAAGAAACAATCGTGTCTTTTATTTTTTTCCGTTGAATCTATCATATATATGGCAATGTAATAAAAAATATCAAATTAAGTAATTAGATTATTATGACTGACTTTTTTTAATTTAAATAAAATTACAAGCTCCATTATTAATTAGACTTTTTAAAATGTAGAATTTCACAAGGTACTTTGGAATTAGGAAAAATGAAATCATTTTAATAATTACAATTTTTTTTTAATTATTGCTAATTTTAATGTCTGCAATTTTGTTTTAGATTTTGGATCGAACCGAAATCAGGCTTGCCATTAGACGTGAGCTCCAAAATGCAGATAAACTTGGCACTCGGAGATATATCGTCAATCAACAACGTGGAGAGATTCTCCAATATGTATTTACCAATGTTATGGTTTGATATTGTAAGTTTCATGTTTTTAACACTTCTAAATGTCAATAAGCATTGTGAATTTTATACGTGAATTTTTCTTGGGTTTTTTCCTCTTTAAACTTCGGGGAAATACTGTGCAAATGTATATTAAAACTATTACAAACTACTATATGTAATGACAGACTTAATATTTGAATATCATAAATTGAATTCCTATTTTTAACTTCGATATATATATTTTATCTATATCTTTATCTATGTTAAAGGCCCAGTCTTAATTTTGAGAAATAAGCTAGATATTATATATGATGACGTAATATCTGTAGTATACTTATGTATATAGGCGACACATTGTTTAACACTTAGGTACCATCAGATGGACTATCGGTTTGTTTACTATTACAGTTACATATAAAAGAAAGAAGTTTGACTATCATAATTTTCCTTTACAGAGAATGTACACATTAACTCCATCGTTAGAACAACGCTTCAACTTATATCTGAACATACTACCCGTCGTCGAGCAGGCGGCCATGTACATACTGTTCGCCATCGGAGCCGGGCTCATCCTCGCCACAATCTACAACCTCGCCTTCAAAATAATGTTCAAATCCGTCAACAACAGACAGAAAAGAAACATCGACATCGGCAATCAGTATTGTACTAAAGATATTAAAAACAAAAACACAATCTACACGCCCTGTGAAACGCCGCTCAACGATCTAGAATCCGATTGTTCTGATCCACAATTCGATCCTGAGAGACGACCTTCGCTATTGAAAATACATGGCGACAAAATAAAGGAGTTAAGTAACAGATTAAGCGATAAAATGTATGATTCAGTTGGTGCAGTCAAAGACAAATTTATAGATGAATTCACGCATGTAAAAAATATTTTCGATAGGAGAAATTCATTAAAGAACGAAGACAATAATGCTTACCGAAGTGATTCCGGTGATGAAATGAATCACGGGTACCGATCAGTGAAACAGACTGATAGTGATGATGATTATAAATATTTAGAAGTAATAGACGATGGTAGTGAGTTCGATTCTCCGGGATTCCTTAATGATAGTAAACGCTTAAACAAATTGGAACGTACACACAATGAAACTGTATTACATATACATGAATGAATGAATGATACTCATTTTGGTTTAAAATTTATTCTTAACACCATTTTTGAGTAAGAGGTTGAGACTATTTCTTTGAAATATATATGTATTTATATATATGCTTGAAGTGTAGAAATTTGTCTATGATTAGCTGGTTGCAAAATATATAAACTCTTCTCATTTTTATGGTGTTATGTACTATATTTTAGTAATCATAGGAACAATAATTGATATTGTTTTTAGCAGTGATCAATAATCTGTGAGCGATGATACGTGTAGTGACGTTCTATTAGTTATCGTTTCGTTTCTACAACTTATTAAACTTCTATAAGAAATCAAAAGATTTGGTTTGAATATATTTATGTATAAAAACAATGTATGTGTATACATTGGATGTAATTTTGATCTATTTGTTGACAGCGCTTCTCTAACTATGGCTATATCAAATGGAAATATTCGGTTTTTTTTCTCATTTTAAACTTCGAATGCTCATCAAAAATACATAAACTTGAATTTTAGATAGACCCAAAAAAATCCAATCTTTTTCTTTCTTTTTTAATTGTGGCTCCGTGTGGCGTACTGCATGTTGTTCGCAAATATTTTTATTGCGTACTTTTTACACAATCTATAAATCTGTGTAGTGATTAATGTAAATAGTGTAGACCAATAGTAATTTATCGTTTACTGCAGCCATATTTACAGTGTATATAATATAATGTAAATAAAGTTAAAAGAAACCCAAGTAGTTTTAAGTTAGAAATAAATAATATACTCGTCTTGCCCTTATACATTCCGTAAATATATAAGTAGTTGTTATAATGTACATTATTTAAATATTTAAGTTATTTTCACAAAAGAATAAGAATAGGAACAACATGGATAAATAAAGAATAAATAAATACAACAATCAGCAACAAAATTATGGACAATAATAAATAGATCTCACTCATTTATTCATTCGAACGATATTTTACAAAATCATCACAAATGGTTGTAGTGAAAACAGTCTCAACTTGATTTGTAAAATATGAGAGAGGACTTGATTGATTATAACCCTATAGCTCTCTTGTCTGAACCTCACCCAGGACAGTTTTTATTTTTTAAGACGCCGTACTTGCAGACATTTTTTTATTAATTTTGTAGTATTTGTGGGTAATGTTATTTAAAACAAAACAATTATTGTATGAAATTGTACAAATTGTTTTTAAAACCATTTCATAGATCAATAAATCAATTACTCAACTTACAACTATTCAAATTTAGTCATTATTTTATAGGACGGTTTTTTGGTTTAGCCGTTTAGCACAACACCATACTTTTCGGCGGATATAGATTTCAATTCTCCCAAATACAAACTTGTAATCATGAATATGTTTGTTTGTCAATAAATACATCTGGGTACTTTTTATTGTTAATATTTCTATCAGTTGTTTAATACCCGTAGCTCTTCGTTTGGGACTAGATGGCGCTGTTAAAATTGTCCTGGGTTTTTATTATTATTTACTTCATGGCATGGGTCACAAATTAGATTGCAACAAAACTAAGGTATACGTCGTTATGTGACCATGAACAAACTTTAAAAAGTCAACTTATTGATAATAAGTTGCTCCATGAAATGGGTCATAAATTCGATTGGATTAAAACTATGATAAACTTATTATTATGTGACCATGAACAAGTTTATAGAAACTTATTGAACCAATCTGTTATATTAAAGCCACATTTGAATATTAAATTCATATATAACCTTGATGGCTTTGATATTTCTAATCAGAAATAACTATAGTTATTTATGTTAAGTTATTTTAGATAAACGACTGATGTTTTTACTTGCTCAAATATTTATAACTTTAGGTAGTGTTAACACAAACGGCTAGTGCCATCTATCGGTGTCTTTAGTAAAATACGTTAACTATTGTAAATAACTAACATCCCGCCCCGGCTTTGTTTAGATTTGTTTGTGTATATAATTAATGAGTCTTATATATATTAACACAAAATAAATACAACCGTATGTCTGTACTTAACAACAATTTTTTTTTAATGGTTTTATATTTTACGGTGAAAAAAATTGTTTTTTTTTATTTGCAGTTATTGCATCTCTTGTAGTTCCATAATTTAATCATGGTCTTTTTTTATAATTATCTTATGAACACAATATGAGTTATAGACCGTTTTGTGTCGATTATTACTTCTAAATTTTATTATAAGCACCAATTGTAATAATTTATTATTTGAGACCAATAAAGATTATTATTATTATACAAAAATTATTTTGATCGACGTATAATAAATATTTTTAAGAGGCTTAAGATTATCACCTAAAGACTGCCTTCTCTCCTTAACTCAATAGTTCACAATCACCGATAGATGGCGCGATGCGTTCCCGAAATGACGTCGTGTCAAATGTCATTGATAAATTCGATCGTACATTAATGACGTGACGTTTAACTTCTGGTTACAATTTCTTTAGCTTTCATTGTATTGTACAAAGTATACATTATGTAATACCTACATAAAATGAATAATGAATTTCATTCATTCATTCATTCATTTATTAATAAAATGATATAAATGATAAATAAAATTAAAAATAAAATTCGAATTTTATTTAAAAAAATGCATTTTTCAAATTTGTTGTAAAAGCTATGCATTATTGTAAATATTTATAATATGATAAGTACCACTAAGTAGCTTGCCATTTTAATATATGACTAGTATAAGAAAAATGGGGAAATATTGTAAAATATATACATTGAAAATGGGGTAAACTATGGAAATATAATATATGTAAAAAAAGGAGTAAATTATTGGTTATAAAAAGTTGAAATAAATTATAAAAAATATATTGTACACTTTTTATTTTAAAACCCGGCACATACATTTATATTTTAAAATGATTATATAATTGGAATACATAGCAGACAAGCGGACGGTCCACCTGATGGTAAATGGTGATCGTAGCTTATAATAATAATAATAACCCTGAATTTTCACATCGCCATCTAGAGTCAAGCTAGCAGAGCTTGTGTTATGAGTACTAACCAACTGATAAAAAAACTTAAATATTGTTTTGTAAATACATAGATAATATATATATAACAAACACTCAAATTAGTGCTAGTTGGTTTATTTTTTTTTTCGTATAATATTAGGTTACGCAGTTACATCCAGATAAATACAAGCATAGTCATGAATATATATGTCTGCACCGTGCGAGGAATCGAACCCGCGACCACAGAAAGTAAAGCGGTGTGCTAAACCTCAACACCACCGAGGCCGTCAAACATAACCTATAGATATACATTAACAGTATCATAGGACTTCACGTTCTCAAGTGACGTCAGATATACCCTCATATACTGCCAATCCTGAGAACTCAGGTATTATTCTTCCGTACCTTATAATTTCACTGCCATATTTTTTTTTTTTGTTTTGGTACCAAAGCAAATCAACGGTATATAGAACAAGCCATAAACCTGAGTGGAGCTATTTCAATGCTTATGTGTATGTAAAAATTCTTTATTTTTTAAATAATACTAGCTACTCGCCCGAATTCGCACGGGTGTACATGTATTATATATAAATCTGACGACCTCGGTTGTCTAGCGGTCTAGCACACCGCTTTACGTCCGATGGTCGCGGGTTCGATTCCTCGCACGGCACAAACATTTGTATTGATGAGTATGATTGTTTGTATCGGTCTGGGTATTTTCTATGTATAATATGTATGTATTTACGAAAAAAAAATATATGTATCTGTATCAGTTATCTAGTACCCATAACACAAGCTTTAGCTAGCTTAAGTTGGGTCTAGATGGGACTGTGTGAATTGTTCTAAGATTATTATTATTATACCTTCCTCTTGAATCACATTATCTGTTAAAAATAACCGCGTCAAAATCCGTTGCGTAGTTTTAAAGATTTAAGCTTACATAGGGACTGACAGACAGCGACCGCGTCTTTGTTTTATATTATGTAATGATTGATTATTTGATCTATTTTTTTTTGTTTTTTACAATAGTATAACTATTGTAAATAACTAAAAAGCACTGAATAAACATATGTTTTTTCTTTTCTTTCTTTTCATTATATATCTCACTCTCCATCCGAAATACGAGATATGGTAGTCTTTAAATAAAAAGCCACTTTGCAGTCGGTCGAAAACATCGCAATTTATTATTAAACACCATTATTTATACAACAGGATAAACATAACAAGTTTTATTATATTATTGTTCCGAAATAAAAAACTAACTAATTATTTAATGTGAAAATATCCTGCGCCGTATACAGCCAACTTTGAACGAAGTCAGTGTTCATGAACCACCAGAAAATGTAGCCGTAAAACGTAATTTGTACCAATTTATCCAATATCACCATTCTGAAATTAAAAAATGGAGATTATTTAAGTTTCTTGCCAGTTCTTCTCAATTGGATCTATTTACCAAACTGGACGGTAGGGAAAAAATTATATTAAAATTATAATGTAAAAAATTTGACGTTCATAAGCGGCTAAAATGTCGTACATGAATAAATTATTTTTGAATTTGAATTTGAATTACTGCATAATGAAAAGATAATAACAATGGTGTACCAATTTAACTCAGCACCGAGGCTATCAAAGTCGAGCCGTCTGCTAGTTTTATTATGTCACTAGCTGCAACCGCGATTTCGTCCGCGTGGAATTTAACTTTATTTTTCTAAACCAAAAGTAGCTTATGTTACTCCTTATTACATCAGCTACCTGCCAAAAAAAGTCCGGTCAAAATCGGTCCAACCATTTCAGAGATTAGCCGGAACAAACAGACAGACAGACAAATGATTGTAGATGTTATTTCGGTGTATGTATCGTATTTATATTCCAATTCATGTAGTAAAAAACGGTTATTTCAATATTACAAACAGACTCCAATTTTATTTATATATATAGAAGATTACCTTCGGTAATGAGCTTTTGCTTTCGGCAAGTCCTCGTCCTTTTCTTTTAATAAATACTTTTTCCCGCCAATACAACAGTCTCTAAAGTACATATGCTTATCAACTGATTCCATATCGTAGTAGAAATCTTCAACATCCTGCTCCTTGATGCACGAGCGGAGTTTGACTATATTATCATTTATGAATGTCCATTGCTGCATTATGAAATATCGGAGAGCCATGTTCGCTATATAAATTCTTCTTTGAACTTTTAACAACCTGGAAATATAAGGATATGTTTAAACTATATACATGTGAACATATACAAATACAGTATATATATATAGTAAGTGCAGAGAGAAAATATAAGAAGTATAGAAGTATGGATGGAAATCACAGCCATGTTTCAGTCGTCAGGAATAACAATACCAGAAGGGTTCTGCAAGCATTAGGTACATGACGCAATATCTGAGGTATTCCTGAATATAGTCGAGAGATAACAATTTCCGTCAGATTGTTTACCATTCCAGTATATATGAAATTCTGATCAATTGCAGATTTACAACGCGTTTAAGCGATAATACACTAAATTAATTGAGAAACAGAGCCAGTCTCGCAGTTTTAGGAAATTTGAGCGAAATTTGATCAGATTTAGTCACCACACTATTCACATTATCTCTGACTACCTCATTAGCATGTATATTATAAGATATTCAAATAATAGAGTAATATAAAATAGATGTTTAATCGTAAGCATCTTAAGCACTCGCACTCTTAGCTCCTAAAATACATGTTGAGGTCCTTTGTTACTCCAAATCCACTATTAATACAAATCCAACTTCAATTTAGCAAATAATAAATGTATGATAAAACAACATATAATGTAATCCATGTAATTGAATGTTAAAATAAAATTAATAAATAAAGTAAATTAAAAACTTTGTGGGTGGGGGAATATTTGTTATAGTATGTAATATTATATTATCTGTGGTTATAGTATGTAATATTATGTTTTATCTGTGGTTATAAGGACCACGCGGTTGCTATTGATGACCATCGTGGTTTATTGGTGGTAAATTGACAACGATGGGCTTAGAGACCACACTTCATGCGCTACCATACCATCATTCACTGGTGCACCTCCAGCGTAGACTGTTAGCGCAAACGGATGTACTTTTCAATATTCATTTACTTAAAAAACGGTACATTGTAGAAAGTACTCACATTGGTTTGTGACCAAGAAGCCACAGTAGAGTATCCACCAGAATAGCAGGCAAACAGTGCATTAATAGAACCTAAAACAAAACATTGTAGACCTCTAGTCTGTGAGCATAAACATTTATTACACTGCAGCCCGTTGGGAAGAGGCTATTGCATATATAATACCTTTTTTTTTTATAACACAGGGGACAAACGAGCTTGCGGCTCACCTGATGGTAAGTGATTACCGCCGCCCATGAGCACCCGCAACACCAGGGGAATTGCAAGTACGTTGTCGGCCTTTTAAAAAGGAATAAGCTCTTTTCTTGAAGGTTTCAATATCGTATCGGTTCGGAAATACCATTGCTGAAAGGTGATTCCACAATGTAGTTGTGCGAGGCAAAAAGTTTCTAGAAAACCGCACTGTGGAAGACCGCCATTCATCCAGATGATCAGGATAGTAAAATATATATAATACCTATATAATACCTCTAGACCAGTGATTCCCAAAGTGGTCTATATCGACCCCAGGTCTTTCAATATCTACGACGGCTCATCTTGGAAATACCATTGTCGTGGTACTACAGTTAGAAATTTACAAAAAATCAATACCAGGTAAGAATGGGGGGTGTACCCAAAACCGAAATATATGGCAAGGGGTCTACGACACAAAAAAGTTTGGGAACCTCTGTTCTAGACAATTCACATAGCGCCATCTAATCCCAACGTAAACAACAGTTATGGGTACTAGACAACTGGTATAACAATTTGTATAAACATTTTTTTTAACCCAGACCTATAGCAATAATCATACTAATGAGAATAAGTGTCTTTACAGGGCGAAGAAGCGAACTCGCGATTATCAGAAGTAAAACAGTGTGCTAAAACACTAGACTACCGAGGCTTTTAATATTCATGAACAGCAAGCACTATTGACGTCTGAAAATTAATTTTCAGCAAGCACTATGGACGTCTGAAAATTAATTTTCAGCAAGCACTATGGACGTCTGAAAATTAATTTTCAGCAAGCACTATGGACGTCTGAAAATTAATTTTCATCAAGCACTATGGACGTCTGAAAATTAATTTATGACCCCCACAGTCATGTGGTGTCATAAGCCATGATGTGTTTGTACATGTGCATTTGTTTCCTAGTTAGAATTAAACAAAGTTATCCAGCTGGATAGCTATTGGCCGCAGCTGGCCTTTACAGCTTCACCGGACGATAGGGGGCGAGTGTAGATGGCACTCCAAACCCGAGCAAGGAGTTATGGATCGGCTAAAGGCCATCTCCCGCTTGACGGATACGACTTCAGTCTAAACGCACCGATAAGGGCTTGAACCTCCAATAATCTGGGGGCACCGCTTGGGGCCCCACCGAACAGTCGTAATTTCGATGCCTGTTTGAATTGGCCAGCGGTGCGACGGAATCTTTTAACCTTACAATATCACTGCCATATATCCCCCTTTACACTGGCAAACTTGGAAAGTATTCTATTTTTTTTATTCTTACATTTACTTAGGGACTTTTATCATAATATGAAATGCAAGTCCTATCGTTTATTATTACTGATCTTATCTTCTACTGTACAATGAAAATAAAACGTTTGCTGGCGATGATACAGGATCAGATAGTATACCATGGTACATACCAACATCAAGCCGATTTAGACTGATTTTTTTTTAAATACCCTTTTTAGATCGTCTAGGACACACTCGATTAATATATGATGATACAGGATCAGATAGTATACCATGGTACATACCAACATCAAGCCGATTTAGACTGATTTTTTTTAAATACCCTTTTTAGATCGTCTAGGACACACTCGATTAATATATGATGATACAGGATCAGATAGTATACCATGGTACATACCAACATCAACGATTTAGACTGATTTTTTTTAAATACCCTTTTTAGATCGTCTAGGACACACTCGATTAATATATGATGATACAGGATCAGATAGTATACCATGGTACATACCAACATCAAGCCGATTTAGACTGATTTTTTTTTAAATACCCTTTTTAGATCGTCTAGGACACACTCGATTAATATATGATGCAGGTCTTCTGCAGTATTGCAGTTGGGGGAATTCGATTTATACATAAAAAAGGTAAATGAATTTAATAGATAATATCCGTAAAGCAGTCTTAATACTGTGATAGTATTTAATTTGAAATTATTACCTTAATATAATGCTTCGTTTCGGAAGTCGTTATAGAGCCGCCGACGCTCCACAGAGCACCATTTATGGGCATCGTTGGTGCTAACTTCCTACCAAACTCTACCATTTCCGACATAGTAATGTTATTGAGTGTGCCTGCACAGCAATTGTATATCGGTATATCATCTGTGATCTCCAATCTGTAATATAAAGTTTTTTTTTATTCATTTATCTGAGAAAGGTAATAGGTTACTTTTTAATGTGAAAAAAGGTTTATAAAGGGTTGAAAGAGGGGATGAAAAGTTGTATGTAAGTATCGTAATTTTTAAAGCTAGAAGCTTGAAACTTATTTTATAAGCTGTTTATGAAATATAAGTATTTGAAAGTATTTATACTTATGTGTCATATTTATAAAATAATTAGCCTATATAATTAAAAAGACTATTCTACGAGAACGAAATCGCGGGCACAGTTTGTATGATACTGAAACTCAGCGCTGCAGTGACACGCTGCAGCACCAGCTGAGTGGAAGCCCTTTCAACTCATAGCGCTATAGCTTTTAAGATTTTCTATATTTTACTCTATATTATATGTTATGCTAGGAACGAGGACCATGTCTTATGGAAAGTGTATAATATTAATGTGGATGGATGTAAAGGGAGGGGACGCCCTAAGAAAAGATGGATGGATTGTGTGAAAGATAATATGAATAAAAGGAGAGTATGCTCAGATATGACGACCGGTAGAGAGCAGTGGAAGAGAATGACATACTGCGCCGACCACAAATAATGGGATAAAGACAAGACAATGATGATGATTATATGTTATGCTAAATAAATTATTATTATATTATATAATTCTGAAAAAAACTTACTTTTTCGTTCCGCGTACCCAAGCCATACATATAATACTTTTGATAGCTATATCCACAGGCATATAGTCCGCGATGAGATCCGGCTCCGTGTGTATACTACGTAACAAACCTGAAAAATTAAGTTACATAGTCATAGTATATAAGTAACATGATCATAGCATATAGTAACATAAATCATAGTCTGTAATGTATAGTTCCCACAAACAACACCCGTTCACGAGACTTTTAAAAATCTAATTTGTTAGCGTTACATTGACGGTGTGTATATTTCTAACATTTCAATTAAGTATTAATTATAAATAACACGACTTCTTGTTCTAAATTGATAAACTTAAAAAAAATTCACTTATAATTATCAGAAATATTTGTGGAAAATATATAATTTTTATATTCATAAAAATTTGTAATCTTTACAATAATTGCACCTGTGCGAAGTCGAGTCACGAAGCTAGTTCTACTAATATTGCAAACACGATGTATGGAGGGATAGTATCATTATTACCATATGTTATCTGTGTTATTACATAGTATAAAACAAACTCGCTATCGCTGTCCATCCCTATGTATGCTTAAATCTTGAAAACTACGCAACAGATTTTGAAGCGTTTTTAAAATAGATAGAGCGATTCAAGTAGAAGGTTTATATATACAATACATGTACACCCGTGCAAAACCGGGGCGAGTAGCTAGTATTATGTAAATTGAACTTCTTACCTTTACCAGAAGCTATTATAAGGCCAACGGGTCCATTGAAATTGTCTATCCAGCCCGGCATAGGTTCTTTAACACTTGCAATAACTGAAATTAAAATATTAACACTGTATTAATAAACTGTATTCATTCACATAGTTTAAGACTAGGTGGAAATAGAAATAATCTTTATTCAAATAAACTCATTACAAGCACTTTTGAATAGTCATATTTTGATTCTACCACTCATTCGGAATGCAGATTCATCACAAGGAGAATGAGCTGAGAAGAAACTTGTGTGTTGCTCTTTTTAATAGATGTTTCTTTATATAAATAATTACTGTAATTATATCAAGTAAAAGGCATGCGATAATTAACATAGAAATCGCTACGCACTCTATACTTTTTTTATTCTATCGCTCATTCGGAATGCAGTCTCATCACAAGAAGAAGAGCAAGAAATTGTGTGTTGCTCTTTTAAATAAATATTGTTTTAATTACATTTAGATTAACAAGGATTAGGCATGCGACAATCAATATAGAAACCGCTACGCACTTAATCTCTGTTCAATCAGATAACATTGTCAGCGCTATGAATTTTAAGTTAAATATTTTCTACAAAAACATTTATAAATTCTTTAATTTTATAATGAGCTCTTTTTAAAAAGAAAGTATTTCATAAGACATTTGAATCTTTTTTCTGCATGGCGCTCTGAACCTGAAAAACAAGGTTTTTCATTTTATATAGGAACGCTGTGACCTAGTCATTTACAGCACCAACAAATTCCAAAGGGCGTGAATTTGAAACTGTCTCTATTTCTGAATGATTCACCGAGAATATAAAGACCAATAATAAACTAAAATTTATCCAAGGTAGTTGCAGGTACTCTCGAACGTTGGAATAAATGCACCCAATAATAATAATATCCTTGAACAAATTAATTATTACACAATAGTTTTTTGCTGTGGCTCCGCAATTCCAGAACACGTCCATTACCATCTCTAAGAGTATTGAGATTCTCGGTATCGACATCTCTAGCACAGTTGAGTTCCGTAGTCACCTCGAAGAAAAGGTTAAGCTGGCGTCCAAAAAACTCGGTGTGCTCAATAGAGCGAAGCGATATTTCACTGCGGACCAGAGACTCCTCTTATATAAGTCTCAAGTTCGGCCGCACATGGAGTACTGCTCTCATCTTTGGGCAGGAGCCAGGAGGATACCAGCTCGGTCCTTTTGACTCGGTTCAGAGACGTGCTATGAGAATTGTCGATGATCCCAATCTCTCTGACGGTATCGAGCCACTTAGTTTGAGGCAAGACTTCGCTTCGCTTTGTGTGTTCTACCGATTATACAACGGACTGTGTTCTGAGGAATTGTTCGACATGATGCCTACGGCCACCTTTCACCATCGCACCGCTCGCCATCGACAGGGAATTCATTCCCACACGCTGGAACCTAAGTGGTATCGGACGGTGCGGTTTCAAAGGAGCTTCGTCCCGCGTACACTTAGATTGTGGAATGAACTTCCTGCCAAGGTTTTCTTACGAGACTACAGCATGTGGTTTTTCAAGAAGGGTATATTAAGGTTTCTTAAGGGTCGGCAACGCGCACGTGACACCCCTGGTGCTTCAGGCGTCCATAGGCTACGGTAACCATTTACCATCAGATGGGCCGTGTGCTTGTTTGCCACCATAGTAGTATAAAAAAAAAACTTAAAGATAGTCTTAAGCTAGTACTCATAACACGAACTCTGCTTAACTAAACTTAACTATTGCTAAGCTTAACTAGATGGCGCTGTATGAAATGTCAGGGTTAATATTATAATTATAGAGTAGTCTTACCTATGGATGGTCTCACGATAACGGCCGGCAGTAGACCTCTCTGTTCATACACGACATGCTCGGCGAGCTGCTTCGTGAACGTGTACGTGTTAGGAATGCTCCCAAGGTATCTGGAATGAAGTACATAAACTGTTAATTATTGACGACCTCGGTGGTCTAGCGGTCTAGCACACCGCTTTACGTCCGATGGTCGCGGGTTCGATTCCTCGCACGGCACAAACATTTGTATTCATGAGTATGATTGTTTGTATCTGTCTGGGTGTTGTCTATATATAAAATGTTTAAATTTTCAAATTATTCCGTATGACCTTGTGAGGGTCTGTAATCAAAACCTGTACTATACACATGATATAAATACTATACATAAGACGTTGTAATTTTAAATACTTCATTAAAAATATTAATAAATCTGTTTGTGAAATAAACTTATATAATTTTCAGCTTAAAGTATGGAGGATGTGATGTTATGTGTGCGTATATATGTGTGTGTGCCTGAAGAAGGGTGTGAAAAGAATTTATATACTATTGAATATTTATAGTACACTCCAATAATAATTCAGGTCAATTCACACAGCGCTATTTAGTTAAACAGAGCTTGTGTGGGTATTAGACAACTGATCTAAATACATAAATACATTTTTGTATAAATACATACATAATATATATGTAGAAAAGGGCTACATAGCAGTCCATTGTACAACGATCTCGTAGAACCAAAAACCGTAACAGAGGAAGACAAATCGCGAGGAACCAAGGAGGACAATGAAGAATCGTCTTAGAACCACGTCTACCAATAACCAGCCAGAAACTGAAATACCATGGTATGCAATGGTATTTCCGAACCGATACGATATTGAAAACTTCAAGAAAAGAGTTTATTCCTTTTTAAAAGGCCGACAACGCACTTGCAATTCCCCTGTGTGTAGCGGGTGCTCATGGGCAGCGGTAATCACTTACCATCAGGTGAGCCGCATTCGTTCGTTTGTCCCCTGTGTTATAAAATAAACTATATAACTAAATGAAGTACTTACTTAGGAGTCAATACACGCAATGTGTGGTCATCAACTTCCTCACATATCTGCATGGTCTCTCGCCAGTCCGCCAGCGGAGGGTACATGCGTTCTTCTACCTTATTTCTATTACAATTAGAATATAAAGTCGATACGTGCATTAGAACCTGGAAATACAAGGTTTTTCATTTTATTTAAGACCATCTTGGTTTAGTCGTTGACTGCACCGACAAATGCCAAAGGTCGTAAATTTGAATCTAGCAATATTTCCGAGTGATTCAAATCGAGAATAGAAAGATCAATAATAAAATAAAATTTATCCAAGAGAGCTGTAGGTACGCTTGCATGTTGGTTTCAAATACCATTCAGAACAATTCCCACAGCGGCATCTAGTCCTAAGCTAAGCATTTTTTGTAAATAGATACATAATATATAGGCACAGAAAACACCCAAACTAATACAAACATTCATATTCACGAATACAAATATTTGTACCGTGCTAGGAATCAAACTGATGTAAAGTAAGACGTTATCCTAAACCGCTAGACCACCGTCAACCCAGTAAAGTGTTCTGGTGACCATGACGTCAACGGTTGACATTATCTCCTACTACCCCATCTCGAAGTTGTGAACATGTGATTATATTTTATTTCAATTTATAACAATTAAATAATGCCAACAACGTCGTAACCACAGAAAAAAATATATTTGTTATTATTATATATCTATGTTGGTTTGAAAATAATTTCGAGTATCTATCTTTATGGGCGGTATAGTTGCTCGAAATAAATAAATAAAATTAATATCTTATCTTTACTTACAGATAAATCTCGAACTTCTTTTGCGAAATCGATCAATTCCTTTGTACCGCCGAGGTTCATTTTGGCAGCGAATGGCAGAGAATCATCGAATCTAGACAAAATATTATAATATACGAGTACATAAAACAATAAGTAAATAGATGTCAATATTTTATCGAATGCTATGCTATTTTGCGAAAACCCATTTTGTCACAAAATGGATTCATATTATTGGGTTTATTCCGCTCCCATAGCCTGTTTGAGACCACAAATATTCATGGAAACCTGACTATCACTACTGGAAGCGTTGCGACCTTCTCTATTAGTGATCAAACTCCAATGATTATTGAGTCTATACGTATATTGCGACACGTGTTTCGCCTATGAATGAGGCATCATCAGGCATTGAATAGTTCTGATATAGCTTGGAAACCTGGCGACTTTTCGGCGACCAATCTGCGACTGCAAAGTTGAAACACGTGTCGCAATATGGGTGTAGACTTAATAACAGTGGGAATTTAATCACCTATAGAGGTCGTAACTTCTAGTAGCGGTTTCATCACCCACCAGCGTTTACCGTTATCGCAGGTGGGAACACTAGATTCTATTCCTAATCGTACTTTAAAAAAATTTACCTTACACTGGCTGCAACGTGAAAGATTATGTTCACTCGATTGACTAGAAGAGCTCTGTCTTCCTGTGATAAACCTAAAATAAAGTCATTTGTCGGATTATGCCCTTAAATATTATGGATACATGGCATTGAAAATAAAAAAATTACATCTCAATTATGAGAGCATCATAGTCCACTAACTTACTATCTTAGCGGAAAGTTGTGAATTCAAATCTGATTAATACAAAAAAAATATTTTATTTTTGACTCTCTGGTTTTAGAAACATATATATACTATATAACAATGGCGCGGATTGAGCATACTGTATGACAGTATGCTCAATCCCGCCATTTTGGATTCAAATATATAGGCACTAAACGATTTCACAATGATATCTAATAATAATATTTTATTCTCACCTAAGCCAGGTTCCATTACGTCACCAGATACAATGAACACTTTCTCCGTGAAGATGTTCGGCTTCTCCGCTCTCAAGCGGTCGAAACACTGAAAATTTGAAATCGTTATTATGGAAACTTTGGTATAGAAACATTTTATGGCACCATTCACCAATTGATCGATCAATTCAAACGGGGATCGAAATTATGATGGCCTGAGCAGAGGTTCGAACTAGCGGTGCCCTCAGAATAAGGTCGTATCCGTCAGGCGGGAGTTGGCCTTCAGCCACTCCAAAAGTCCTTCCGCGGATTTGGAGTGCCATCTGCACTCGCCCCCTATCGTCCGGTGAAGCTGTAAAGGCTAGCGGCCAACTAGCATTAGAATAGTCCGACAGGTTTTTATACACGCTATTAGAAATCCCGATTAGGCTACACACGAGACCATTTAGGAAACGATCCAGAGCATTCCTCAGCACTGCTTCGATACTGACACTGATTTTAATGACATGTGTAGTCCGTTTTACAAGCAACTGTTGCAGTTCTTCATTATTGCTCTATTTATTTTGTAGGCGCTTATTTAATTACCAGTAACATAGAGTTAAGTATTTAACAAACATACTCCATACCTCTACCACTGTACTACTTTTATATAGACGTGAAAAAACTACGTAGGTGGCACACAAGTATACGGCCCACCTGACGGTAAAGCTCCGTAATCTATGGACGCCTGAAACACCAAAGATGTCACGTGCGCGGTGCCCACCCTTAAGAAACCTTAATATACCCTTCTTGAACTGTAGTCTCTAGAGAAAACATTGGCAGGTAGTTGATTCCATAATCTAAGTGTACGCGGGAGAAAGCACATCAGAAAATGCGCTGTTCGAGACCACTTAGGTTCCATCGTGTGGGGATGAATTCCCTGTCGGTAGCGAGCGGTGCGATGGTAAAAGATAGCCGTGGTCAGCGAATCCGTTCAGTATTATTGCACGCAATAACTTAATATAAACATAAACAACACGATTTAATTAGGAGAGTACTTACAAACGATTCATACACTTGAGACAGTCTGTCCTCAGATTTAACTCCCTTCTTGCTTCTAAGTAATATATATATTCTGTCTACACCAGAACATGAATACAGAAGCTTCTCTATTAACGCCTTGCCCATAAATCCTGAAAAGATATTGTGGTTTTTAGAAACAAAATAGAAAACCTAGCTGTTTGGCGCAATCGGCAGAAATTATACTTGGTCAGTTGACATTCAATAAGAAATAAACTTACATTAATTCATTCGTTCATTCAATCATTCAATCATTCATTCATTAAAAGTTTAACCAGACTTCATTTAATTGGCCATTTTTAGGTAACTGACGCCTATAGCAGACAGCAGACGAGTAATGTGTAATGCTTGATAGTAATATATCGGTGGAACAACGTGAATTCATGGCTATTAATATATGGATTGCCAAACTCAGAGACCTCAAATGTCCACTTAGGCAGTTCCTCATTGTAGATTTAAAAAATGTTCAACTCAGAGACAGCTTATGGTTGATTAAAAGACTATTCTTCACATCTCACCCGTGGTACTCCCACATTTAGGTGACGGTTACCACTTACCATCAGGTGCGCTGACAACTTGTTTGGCATTTTTTTTAGATGATAATGAAATGAGTCACACGCCTGCGCTAACGGTTTACGCTGGCGGGGCAACAGTGGAGGATGATAAGATGAGCATGAGGTCAGGTCAGTTAGCCCATCGTGACAAATTCACCAGGAATTTAACACGATGGTTTCCAGGGGGAACCGCGTGGAGGTCGACCTGACATGGTACATTGCTAGCAATGGGGTTATCAATCCACATTACTAACAATACCCTTCACCCATGTTTGGCATTTCAATTACATAAAAAAAAATATGACATTAATATAAGCGGCGATGAAACAACCATTATTGAAACAAATGTCCGTGCACTTAAATTTAAAACTAGTTCTAACTTTTGTTTTACCCCAGGCAATTCCATGCAGATCAATTAAATTTCATCATCTGCTTCTTCCGTATCCCATTCACTGGTGTTCGGTGTAATAAATTCATCTCGTTCACTTCATTCACTCAATATAATTTGAGTGAACGAATGAATTTTATACCTACTAACAGTTTTTTTAGATTAATATGTAAATTTACGCGTGGAGTTCGACCTAATAGGGTACATTTGTAACATTGAGGTCATTAGTCCCCTTTTTTATTATGTAATTAGAATAGCAAACACACTGACGGTCACTAATGGTAAATGGTAACCGTCACCCGTATACCGACTTAAACAGTACGGTCATCACGTTATCATGTAACACTCTGTTATCATGTGTATCACAAATGCGAATCATTGCCGTAGTACTAAGATGTCACGCATCGAATCCTGTAATTGCACTGCCTTCTCACCATACAACGAAAATAAACTGGAAAACAGCTTGTTTTGTAGTCTAAAAATATTAATTACAACAAAAACTGACTAACTTTTAGTTAGAAATAGGAGAAACTAAGGTTTTTTACACATTTTTAGTCCTTACAAACATGCAAATACTTACTATAGTATTTTATATGTAATTTATTAAAATTGTTTCATATTTAAAAAGTACAATTTAAATATGCATTTAAAATACTGTGTTATGTCCATTACAAATGTTATCGAGTTTCAATAAACCTCGAATTTGATCAGTAAGACCCGGTGGTTTCCAGTTCAGTTCACTTCCAGTAAAGTGGCCTGATTGTCACTTTATAATTAAACTTTATACAACGTCATCTACATGGCTATCTCTATCTCATAAGTGATATAGAGGTAGCCATATAGCTGCCAACCAGCTTGCTACGTAAGATGTGTTTTGAATAGTGAGATTCGGCAGTAAAATACAGAGTACGGGTGCAAAAAATTAGTTCTCCGTAATAAACACATCAAGAGTACCATGACCGACACATGACAATTATCCTTACTGCTGTATATAAGCGAAAGTTACCAGTTACCGTCAATTTAACCGTCACAGATACTCCACCATCATGATAGAAAAAAAAAATATTTTATATATGTAATCTCTTAATTTTTCCAATAGTGTAGGTAATAGAAAATAACTCACCAGATCCTCCTGTTATGAATATGGTTTTTCCGGTATAATAATCGGTTATCGTCGGAGCATTGGTCATATCTCTTTCCAAAAACCCCATTTTTCCAACACTAAAATATAACAAATCCAACTATAAATTAAGAACTAAAATTAATTTACATATAAAAAGAACATAGTTTAAAACACACAATATAAAAAAGAATTATTCTTGGAAAAGAACTAACGTTCAATATTTAAACACTTTATAAAAAATATATTGCTTATTTATGGTATATATAAGTAAAATTTAAAATTCGAACACACGAATAAACAGCAACAATTCACAGTATTGCAAAAGGATTGTAGTCAAATGTGTGAGGCGCTGACGACCACTAATTTGAATTTGGAATATTATCGTTTCAAAATGTTCTTAATTTAAATATTTGACAATGGATATTAACGATTACCTAAATAATACTGTTCAAGGCAGCGGTGGACTGTCAAGTGCCGAGTATTGTAATTCGAGGCAGGCTGATGACTCGCTTTTTCATTAAGGCGAAGTGTGTGTTGAATTTTAATTTTATACTATATAATTCATTAGATGACATTGTATCGACGTATACTTTAGTATTTAATTAGACTGACTGATTTATCTTTGAACGGACGTCATAAACAATAAACCAGAAGTATGAAAATTTTAATATAGGTTCTTGAAAGAGATACTTTGTACAAAGTCGTCATTGTTGATATATTTTAACTATTTCTACTACCAGCAGGTTACTTTGCTAGCTATATTGCGATATAAACATTGGTATGATATACTTAATATATTATACTTAACATAAATATATACTTAATTCCCAGGAAAGGCACCGAATGGGAGATAATCAAGTACATATATGTTACACATTCTACCAGTATTCATGCAAGTAGCGCCTCGGTATGAAACTAGTTAGTCTTTAAGAATATAATATTGCTAGACAATTCACACAGCGGCATCTAGATGGCGATGGGACTAGTTCCAAGCCAAGTATAGCTTGTGTTATCGGTACTAGACAAATGATATAATTACTTAGATAATTTTTTGTAAATACAGGTATGATATAGGAAATTGGAGGGAAAGGGAATTGTTAGTAATATGTTCTCCCTGAAAACCATCGTGATAAATTCTTGGCGAATTTGAGCTAACTGACCCGACCTCATGCTCATCTTATCATCCTCCACTGGTGCCCAGCGTATACCGTTAGCGCAGGCAGGTACATCATTCTATTATCATCCATAAGAAAATAGAGAAAATTCCCTAGCCAAAACAACAATCAAACAATTATACTTATAAATACAAATATATGTACCACATGAGTAATCGAACCCGCGACCTTCGGATGTAACATAGTGTGCTAAATCACTAGACCACCGAGACTAGATACTTAGATGGTATACAAAATAGCTTATAAGCATTATTAACATAATAGAAACGTTTCACACTGTATGTTAGTTTAAACGCAGCGCTGACCTTGCAATAAACATTTAACGAAATACTTACTACATTAAGATTTAATTCATTTATTACTATATATATAAATAGATAATGATAATCTGTACATCTGTACATATAAATAAAATTGGAGTCTGTTTTTAATATTGAAATAACTGTTTTTTACTACATGCACATGAATATAAATACGGCACGTACACCAAAATAACATTTTTTACAATATTTGTCTGTCTGTCTGTCTGTTCCGGCTAATCTGTGAAATGGCTGGACCGATTTTGACGGGACTTTTTTTGACAGGTACCTGATGTAATAACTTAGGCTACTTTTATTTTAGAAAAATATAGTTCAATTCCACGTTGACGAAATCGCGGGCAGCGGACAGCTAGAAATACAATAAAAATCTCAAGACAATTCACACAGCGCCATCTAGCTCCAAGCTTAGCAGAACTTATGTTATGGACAAGACAAGACGACTGATACAAAATCCATAAATTGTCAATACATACAATTTATACAACAAAATGCCCGGTCACAGGTTCGATTCCTCACACGGTACAAACATGTGTGCTCATGACTATGATAATTTATTTGTATTGGTCTGGATGTTTCTTATATACATATGTATGTATTCATAAAAAAATCTATGCATTCATAATACAAGTTCTGCTTAGCTTGTGACTAGATGGCGCTGTGTGATTAGTCTTGAGTTATTATTATTATTACAGCTTTTAATAATGTAAATAAAGTACCCTTACAGCATCAGAGGTAAATAAGAAGGTAGTAAATATAGGTAGAGGAACGATGGTAGCAGATTACCTTAAAACCACTAGTCAGCTCCTGAATGTAGTGAGAAACCATCGAATATCACTTGCATTCATACCACCAGTGTTGCCCTATTAAAAATAAAAATAAACATATCTATAGTTTTAGTTTAAAATCTGAAGTTTGTCTTCACAACACGCATTTTCCAGACACTAAAAATACCTTAATATATTAGAAGAATAATTAATCGATAGAAACAATTCTTTATTTAGATTATAAATAAACTAGACCCCCGCCCCGGCTTCGCACGGACGTACATGAACTTTACATATAAACCTTTCTACAACAAACTAGATGTCCCCGCGACTTGGTCCGAGTGGATATTAACTTTATTTTTCTAAAACAAAAGTAGCCTAAGTTACTCCTTATTACATCGGCTACCTGCCAAAAAATGTCCTATCAAAACGGGTCCAGCCATTTCACAGATTAGCCGAAACAAACAGAGAGACCGACAAAAATTGCAAAAAATAACATTTTTTACAATTTTTCTCTTTTATATGCATTTATATTCATATCAATACCTTAATAAACCTTTCTCTTGACTCAGTCTATCTTTTGCTGAAAACTACAATAAAATCCGTTGCGTGATTTAAAAGATATAACCGTATAGACAGAAAAGGCAACTCTTCTTTATACTATATAGAGAAGTTTTGTTTATATTTTAACTATCATTGAAGTTTTAATTAACTTTTCACTACTATATACGTATTATAGAAATGACTGTTCATAAGCGATCAAAAATTAAATTTTACTTTTAAGATTTCTGTTTCTACATTAATATACTTACAAATATTATATATATATAGTATATAATATATATTTATATATAAGGTAAATACCAAAAGTGTCCCTTTTCCCAACAATGCCCTTCAATCGCTTTCTGTTTTTACCCAGTGGTTAGCTGGTAGAGAATGCCATATGGTAATACCATTATATTATCATTATATATATTATATATAAATATAACAATTGACGTGCTTAAACATTAGTGGAATTAAAAATATATAATAATTAGAATTATTATGTTATCTGTGTTACTAAGGTACTAATTAAACAATAATAATAATATAAAAAATACCTGATATTAAGCAAATAAACTCTCTAAATCACTCAATAAATTCACTGCACTGATTAGAGATATTTTTCATTTTTGAGTATATTATATTAAAGTAATATTACTTTAATATAAAATAATTTATCATCGAAACAACACGCAAATATCTCGCTATATCTTCTTGTGATGGCTCTACGTTCCGAATGAGTGTTGGAATAAAAAAATATGACTATTCAAATATGCTTATATTAATTATTTTTTTATAAATTTTATATATATTTATTATTATTATTATTATTATATATTTAAAATATATAGAAGCTGTGTACCATTTATAAAGAGGATTTATTATATGTATTTCTATTTCTCATATACAAAACTCACAAAGTTATGAATTCGCGGTTATACCGGAGCGAGCCATTAATAACTTAACAAAGTAAGTAATATAGCTTACATCCAATGACAATATTAGTTTTTTTTTTAATACCTACAGTCATGGAAGGTACAATTCCATTGTTTTTCTTTTTATATTTAATATATCACGTTCGCAAACGTATAACAAACTGCGAGACCGACACCGACTAAGTTAATTACAGCAAAATACGCAGGCGATCGAAACAACCTTGCCGTGCTTCTAATCATTTGAAGATGAATCTAGGTTGATTTTCTTACGATATTATATTCGTACGTCATAAACTTGTTAATACTATGCTGCAGGCCTCTGTGGTTTAGCGGTTTAACACAGTGTTTTACTTCCGATGGTTCTAGGTTCGATTTATGAATTCACCTTGAATCGATTTATGAAAATTGATTGTTTATGTTAGTGTTTTCCACGTGTGTATTTCGTTTATTACACCCGTAACACAACTCTGCTTAGCTTGAAATTATATTACAATAAAATTAATTGTAATTTGTTTATCGATGAGGATTTTTAAATGTAAACTTAAACAATACGCTTTATTATATATAATTATAATTATATTATATACTTGCTGTTCCCGCGACATCGTCCACGTGGAATTTAGTGACCGTGAAGGAATCGAACCCGCGACCATCGGTGAAGCGGTGTACTTAACCGCTAAACCACCGAGGCCGTCTTATAATACGTATATATTAATTTTTTGCCATTGACTTCCCTTGTTATATGCCTCTTATATCTAAGATTGCACTCTGTACACTGATTTCTTATAGGATGTACCGGTTTATGGCAATTGGTATTACAATTAGTAATAATTACAATTGGTCTGACGTGATATAAACACAGTATGCAACGTAATACTGTTCAACATATAGCACGATTGATACAATAATATTTTCTCTCAGAAAATATGTTACTTAAAATTATACCTTAAAATTAAACTTCTAGAGTTCATTTTGTAAAATTTTATTAAAAAGTACAAATTATTCAATATCGTACAAAATACTAGATAATACCAACAAAATCAGAGTTATTGTTGTCTGTTAATTTATTTATTAGACTGAGTTTGTTATACAAAAATATATAATAAAAAATACAATGTTAATATGAAATATAAAACTGACCAGTACGTCAGCAACAATAGTCTTTCCCAATAAATCTCTCCAAAACCAATGCAATTTAAGACAACAATAAAAATCTATACATATAAATAAAATTGGAGTGTCTGTTTGTAATATTGAAATAACCGTTTTTACTACATACCAAAACGTACGTACACCAAAATAATATTTTTTATAATTTTTGTCTGTCTGTCTGTTTGTTCCGGCTAATCTCTGAAATGACTGGACCGATTTTGACAGGACGTTTTTAGCAAGTAGCTGATGTACTAAGGAGTAACTTAGGCTACTTTTATTTTAGAAAAATAAAGTTATATTCCATACGGTAGAAGTCGCGGGAACAGCTAGTATCAAATATAATGAATATGCAGAACATCGTTACATCTATACTCATGCTATTGATATCAATATTAATTTTATGGTAAATAATTTATTTACCTTTCAAAATTAATATCAATTCAATATCATAAACACTTCAAAGAAAGCGTTAATTTACCAATTAGTCAATCCAAGTTAATCCATTTAAAAGTATAAAATATATATACTGAATCAACACGACTTGCCCTTAATCGTTATTCAGCATATTTCCAAAGGTTTGTATGTAATGTATGGCAATTTAAGTGTAAATTAACTTCGTATCACATTACATTACACTAGTTTATTGAATTATACCTTTGTTGACCGACTGCATCGGGAAATGGAGGATATGTGTTTGTTAAGATGTATCTGTAACATATGAAGGAGTCGCTGACCCGCGCAACTTCGTCTGTTTGACACTTACTTGACATTTATCATTATACTAGCTTTTGCCCGCGGCTTCGCTCGCGTTAATTTATCGCCTTAGGGGTGGAATTTATCAAAATCCTTTCTTAGGGGATGCCTACGTCATAGTAGCTTTATGTATGCAAAGTCTCAGCCTGATCGGTTTAAAATTGACAAAGTTTCATACAAACTTTCATCCCCTATTTTATCCCCTTGGGGGTAAAATTAATCGAAATCCTTTCTTTGCGGGTGCCTACGTCATAACATCTATCTGCATGCCAAATTTCAGCCCGATCCGTCCAGTGATTTGGGCTGTGCGTTGATAGATCACTATGTCAGTCACCTTTGAGTTATATATATATAGATATAGAGAAGATGTGCAGAATGCTACTATTTTTTTTTATTATGCATATAAAAACATTACACACACTACCATGTAATGAACAGAATAAAAAAAGAGTACAACAATTAAAAAAGTATTTATATATATATACTTATTTATTGTTAAAATTTTATAGACATAGTTTTTGTTTCATTAATATAAAGTTATTAAAACTTCATTAATTACATAAATTAAGTTATTCAATTTAGTATTTTGAGAATAAAACCTAATACTAATTCAATTTGTTTTTGCTTTAAACTTTTAATATAAATATAGAGCGAAAACGTTAAAAAAACCCGCTGTCAATGTCATTGATTCTTGACAAGTTTCTTATGGATTTATCTTTTTATAATATTTATATAAATCGTAGTTATGTAATATTATTTATATATTAATATAATTGTAAATTAATAATCATGGCCAAAAAAGATAAGAAAGGGAAAAAGGTAATTGTATAATATTACTTTTATTTTCATCACCACAGAGTAGAGAAGTAAGTGTTCTGTAAACTTCTGTAGTGCTGAGTTACTGATTGATCACTATCATTGTACAGACAATTACTAAGTTCATCTCGTTGATTCTCCGTACATAAAAACAAAAGTTTAGAAATCTCGACTACATCCTTGCTTTACAATTTTAAAATCGACTTTAACGCGTTATTAAAGTCGACATCTTATTGTATGGAATTAGAGATACCTTTCTTGACATAAAAAACAGTAATACATCATTAGCATTAAAGTGACATATAAATATAATTGGAGTGTCTGTTTGTAATATTGAAATAACCGTTTTTTACTACTGCATATGAATATAAATACGGTACATACACCAAAATATCATTTTTTACAATTTTTGTCTGTCTATCTATTTGTTCCAACTAATCTCTGAAATGGCTGGACCGATTTTAACGAGACTTTTATTGGCAGATAGCTGATGTAATAGGAGTAACTTAGACTACTTTTATTTTAGAAAAATAAAGTTAAATTACACGCAGACGTAGTCGCGTGTACAGCTAGTCTTAATTATATTTTTACGTCCTTACACAATCTGCTTCGGGGCTTATAGGAGAGCGCCTACTCTTCAAGCGTAGTGATTACTTGCTCAGTGACAAAATCCAGAGAGCTAAAATTAAAACTAAACGTTTATTGTATATCAGAATCAATAGTTTAATCAATCAAGAACTTTTCAACGCATCTACTAAACAATACGAGGAGACGACATCCAGTATCAAATACTATTTCTATTTATTTATATTTGTTTTACATTACATTATTCTCCTATATGAACACTAAAATTCTATTACTATATTAGTTAACTAGCTGACTTCAGCTAGTACGTCTGCTTCACACTTAACATTTATGATTAAATTTCGCCCAATTTACATATATTTTTAAATTGTAGCCGATTATTCCGACGTATAAGCTATGTTACTGTAAAGTTTCATCAAAATCCGTTCGGTAGTTTTTGCATGAAAGAGCAAGTAACATCCGAAATTTTGTGAGTATGGATATACTCACAAAATTTCGAAAAAGATTAAAATTTTATGTTCAAACTACAGTTTAGTGGTAGAAAATGTAGAATGTGTTAAGTCCACGAAATGTACTTTTATGTTGGTATTATCTGCATTGAAGTTAAGTTAAGAAGAATAAATAAATATTTACATTGTTTTTTTCAGGACGATTCTAACGAACCTCCAGGTAATATTTAAATTATGTTCACTTTGTCTTAAGATATAAAAATGTAATTCCAAAGATTATTAAAAATAGCAACACGCGATTTTCTTGCTCGTTCTTCTTGTAACGAATATGAGGTCCGAATAAGCGGTAGAGTAAAAATAACCGGACATTCAAATGTGCTTATACTGAACAAAGATTATTTCTATTTTCTATTTTTATTTTAAAATAACTGTTAAAATTACCTGTTAATAACCTATGTACATGGGCACGTTCAGAGGAAAAACAGGGAGGGTATCACTTCATAACATGATGTCCCTAGTACTGTTTATGTACATAGGCGACTGTTACCATTTACCACCAAGTCCGGCGTCAGCGTGTTTACAATTCCAAGTATATAAATAAAAATACTGTTTAGCTTTGACGCCCCGGTGGTCTAGCAGTTACTTCTGAAAGTCGCGGGTTCGAATCTTCGCACGGCACAATGTACCTATATGAATTTACCAAAAAAAACTATGCATTTGTATCAGTTATCTAGTACCCATAAAATAAGCTTCAGCTAGCTTAACAGGTATAGATGGCGCTGTGTGAATTGTCCTGAGTAGTAGAATATGTATAAGGATAATCAGTCAAAGTCTCTCTCATTTTCCAGAGTCTGACGTTCAGGATGAGATATTGCTGGCCACAACAAACTTGGAACCAGAACCAGAGGAGGTTCAGTACACAGACACCTCGTACACCAGTGCTTCTTTCGAGTCCTTACCACCTGTTATTGAAGGTAATCACCATTCAATATACATAACCTTTCTATATAGCAGTTTATCCATATATATGAGTTTTCATACGGGTATCTATTTTTTACTCAACTATGACGAAGTAGAAAGGAGGGTAATCATTTTAAGTCATTTCAAGATTAGCAAGAACGAACAAACTAACGTACGAACGAACTGTGAAAAATATTTTAAATTATTTTTTTGATATTTGTACCGTGTATGCTTTATCATATAATTATATACTTTTATGAGTATATATGTATTTATTTATATAACTTCAATAAACAAAATGCGATGGTAACAGTACATTTGGCAGATTTGACGCCTTACGGCATTTTCTATTAGTCATATGTATATTTTTAATAATATATAATAATAATAAACTTTCTTAACCAATAAAACATTCTTACAATATATATATTTGCATATATCATCATATATATTTATATATATTATTTCTCTGTATTAATATATTTTGATATTTCAATATTAGTTATTAAATTGCACTGATTTATTATCTCTGATCAACGCGACGCGACGGTTACCTGTTAGAGGAGCCTGTCCGCCATGCAAACAATGTTAAGTGCAAATATATGTATATAATATATATTTAGTTAAAAGCAGTTAATTTGAAATTATGGCACAAATGGATACTCATATTTGTATATACAATAAATGGGCCAGTTTTCTATAACTTATAATTATTGATCAAACCAACAATCATGGTTGCTATAACAAAAACATCACCAACGTACAGTAAATTCATGTGCGAGTACAACAGAGTTAAAAAACCGTAATACACCACTTTGCATCGCTTATCGTCCATAAATATTGAGTTGGAATACATTTTCTTCACTAATATTATTCAATTGTTTATGTCTTTAGCATAATTTATTCTTTTACTATTGACATTCTACTACAGTGTATAAAGTCGTGTATAATTATGTAAAAACATTGTTTACTTGTTAATTTTAGAACCGAAGGCTAAGAAAAAGAAGGGAAAGAAGAAAATTGAGGTAATATATATACACATCTCTATGAAATATCAATAACTTGCTACTCGCCTCGGCTTCGCACGGGTGTACTTGTATTATATATATAAACCTTTATCTTGAATCACTCTATATATTTAAAAAAAATACAGTACATCCACCAAAATAACATTTTTTACAATTTTTGCCTGTCTGTCTGTCGGTCTGTTTGTTCCGGCTCTGATCTCTGAAATGGCTAGAGGGATTTTGACGGGACTTTTTTGGCAAGTAGTTGATGTAATAAGGAGTAACTTAGTCTACTTTTATTTTAGACAAAATCTTTTATTTTAGAAAAATAAAGTTAAATTCCATACGGACGAACCAGCCAGTACATCGTATACATAGAAAACACCCAGATGATATAAATAATCATTTTTTTTTATTGGATTGTTTGGGCTATTGTCAGATGTGTAGCACCTGTAGCACTGCGACCTACATAGATCTATTGTGCTCGCCCTTTTCAGAGTTCGCTACCTAGACCGGTCAGGGACAAGAATTGAAGGATATTCTTAGGAGCGATCGTTTTTATCACCTCGGGAAAGAGTGTAAACTTTCCAAAGGAGATATTTCGTTTATGCATGAGTGGGCTACAACCACATAGGATGTGAAGCGGCGTTTCCTCTTCAGTTTGGCAGAATCTGCAGATACTTGTCGTGCATAGCCAAGGCCTAGTTTAGCCATATGCTTGTTTAATTTGCAGTGTCCTGTGAGGGCCCTAGTCATCATGCATATGTTGTTTTTACTCAATAGCAGTAGTCTATTGGAGTATTTGGTCGTAAATAATCATACTGATGTTTTTTTTTTAATTTCTTATTAAATTTAGGGACTTTTGTATAATCTAAGTACATACCAGTCCCATCGTACCCTAAAACTAATTAATCCTTTACCTCAGCAGTGAACATACATATACGTGCAATTGGTTAGTTGCGTTAGGTAGGAGAAATACGAATCTTTAGAAATGGTTACAAACTATACTCTTTTTCAGGCTGTCGAGGTCCTGAAAGACACAAGTGAGCTATTTCAGTGGTCAGAAGAATCGCTACCTGCAGGTCCATAAAAATATATATGAATACTAGCCACCCACCCCGGCTTCGCACGGATGTACATGTATTATACATATAAATCTTCCTCTTGAATCACTCTATCTATTATCAAATTACGTTGCGTAGTTTTAAAGATTTAAGCATACATAGGTACGGACAGACAGCGACAGCGACTTTGTGTTATACTATGTAATGATTAATATAATATTATAATCTTGAAAGTCTGTCTATTGAATTTAACCTTTTCACAACTAGGTTGAATCTTAATAAAATTTCAGATATAATACTCGTAGTCCGAGCATGCACTTAGAATTTATATTTTAATAAGTACTAAAAATATAATTTATGCTCTTCATATCTTGTAATCGTAACGGTTACCTACAAACATAGACGGAGAATAATGAAAGCTCTGTAATATTATACACACATATATATAAATATAATTATCTTTAATGATTCCAGAAGAACAAAAGATAGAAGAAGAGCAGAAAGAGACCAAAAAAAAAAAAGTAAAAAGGAAAGAAGGAAAAGGAAAAAGAGGAAATACCCGAATTTGAAAAGGTATATATTAGAATAATGGTATCACATGTATCTAACTTACATACGTAGTTAAGTGGCTGTGTGTAGTTAAGTAAGAAACCAACATATTAATTCCTAATTTTCCTTTCCAACTCCCTAACTAATCTAAAACACAAAAAAGGTAAAAAAGACACTATAAATACAGAACTACTAAATCTTTTCTAAAGCGAGATATGTCTGCGCATTGTAAGATTATACGAATATCATGTTTTAAGGTAAACTTACAATATATACTTTTGTATCTTCGTTTTATACATCTACTATATTATAATAGATACTAGCAGATCCCGCGACTTCGTCCGCGTGGAATTTAACTTTATTTTTCTAAACCAAAAGTAGCCTAAGTTACTCCTTATTACATCAGCTACCTGCCAAAAAAAGTCCCGTCAAAATCGGTACAACCATTTCAGAGATTAGCCGGAACAACAGACAGACAGACAAAAATTGTAAAAAGTATGTACCGTATTAGTATTCATATGCATATAGTAAATAACACTTATTTCAATTTTACAAACAGACACCCCAATTTAATTTATATTTATAGATTATTTACATTGGGGGAAGTTAGATAAGTGGAAGGGATATAAGAAAAAAAAATTAATAAAAGTTCTATATCATTTAAACATCAAGTTATATATTTTGATTCTTAATCAAGAGATACAGCATAATTTACAAGAAAGAAATTTAGATAATACTAATCAATCGGCTAGAATAATTTTAGATTCTAGAATTACCTTAAAAAGGTATTATTAATCGAATTTTCTATAATTCCATCGGTTTAAAGATCGTTTTCGCAATCTCTGTGATATTCGTTAATCGTATTAGCAATTTTATTACAATCATAAATCATTTATTGATGTTAGATAAAAATTCAATAGCCCATGATAATGCGTCCGTCACGCAACGAAACAATATAATTCTCCTTCAATAGATGTCTCAGTTGTCAATACTGTATCAAAAGTCAGTTGAAAATATAACCCGGAGTTGACGTACTCGTTTTAAGTTAATTCTTTTTTATCAGCAGCAGTTAAAATTTTCTAAAAAGTAGAAAGTATTAAGTAGCTGTAATTACGTAGAGTTGTTTATTGCGACGTGACTTAAAAAGTTTTTATAAAAGCTAATTTATGAATGTTAGCTATAATTATGAAATTTATATATAAAATAGTAGAATAGTAGAAGAGTATAAAAATAACATACTACTAAAAAGAATAATAGTAATACAAAATAAAGTAGTTTTTTTTATAATTGTAATATTATCTTAAATTGAACAGAAAAATTTTAGAATCCTTTCGTAGTAGGTTCTAAATAATAAAAAAAAATATAGATACCTTCATAATTTAAAAGAATAAACGAGTGTCAAATCTACAGCCAAAAAATTGGAAAAAGATGAATAAAAAAGAAAGAGAAGCTTGGATGCTGCAGAGGATAGAAGAATGGCGGGCAGAGAAGGAAGCGGAGAAGTTAGTTAGCCTTTCCTTTTTAGCTCTAACCTTTCCAATCCATACCTTCGGTACTCTATGAAAATTGTTAATGTCTAGTACGTAAAATATTGCTGTTTCACATGAAAATAGTTTCCTTGGCTGAACTGGGCTACTCATACAAGCCCTTCAAAATTAATGTATGTAAACAGTAGCGTGCAAATTTACCACACTAAATATAACATAATTTGCAGCACAGTTTCATACAGATAATATTTTGTAAACGTGACAAAAACCTACCTAGATAGATTAGAACTAAGAAATATATAGCACATTAATTGAATTTATTCTTTATTGTACACACATATAGGAAATAATAGTAATACAATAAATGTAGTGTTCAAAGGCGAGCTTTGCTTATCTCTAAAAAGAGATTTCTTCCAGTAAAGCAAGAAAATTTCATAGGATAGTATATTAACTACAATAGTCATACATAAGATAGATAGATAGATAAATTCTTTATTCACAATTACAGACACATAACATACATGAGATACAGAAAAAACACGAATTAATAAAAGAAATGTAGGTGACTTTATGTGCCGCAAAAGTGAAAAGGCAGCCAACTCAGCATAATGCTACAGATAACTGCAGCGCTGTTATTCTGTTGGCTCCTCACTTATACTATACTTATTACTAAATAAGTGTATTCTAGTCATTCTTGTCTATATTCCAAAGCGAGTTATTTTTTTTTTTAAGTATACATAGATGCAATGCTAACGGAATTGTAATAATCAGCCGTTTATATAAGAACTGAAATGGTAAATATGTAATAAAATATATAAAGACAGATTAGTGCCTGATTGGATAAACTGGCTTTATGACACATTTATTCCATGATTTCTTTGTCGTTGATTAGCTGGGCATTGATTAATGACTAATTTTATTATATGGCTGTCTGAGCGTTCGTATCTAAGGCAGTGTTGTTTTTTATCTATAACCTAACGGAATTTCTTCGACAAACGCCTCTATTTCACCATAGGAAAGGTGAAGATAGAGGCAGGCGTTCGTTGAAGAATTCCTCTTTATTATTCTATCATGACAGCCTATACCAACTTTACTTGGGTCTAATTTTATACATTTCTAGTACCTATATATTCTTCTCATTTGTCTTTGTTTATCTGTAATCATTTATTTGACGGCCTCGGTGGTCTAGTGGTTTAGCACACCGCCTTACATCCGACGGAGGCGGGTTCGATTCCTCGCACGGTACAAACAATTGTATTCATAACTATGATTGTTTGTGTCGGTCTGGATGTTTACATACAGAACATACATAGATAATAATAGATATTGTGTATGTATTTACATAAAAATGTATATTTATATAAGTTGTCTAGTACCCATAACACAAGCTTTGCTTAACTAGACACTAGATGGCGCTGTGTGAATTGTCCAAGAATATTAATATTGATTTAAATGAACTAAAATATTTTCATATTCGTTGTCTATTTTTGTAATATTAATATAAACTATATTTTTCTCCGTTACCATGCCCTCATGAATTACATTAAAATCCAAGTACACGTACTACATTTTAATCTATGATATGGTCTATATCTATTGTTATCTATATAGAATTTTATTCTAATCCATTCAACTATTTGAACATCAATCAAAATCAATATATCTTTAGCTATATTTAAATCTATTACAGATAGTTGTATTGTTTGTCTTCTAATTATTAGATCTCTGGCACACACTACTGTCCTTATTCGCTGTTTACCGCTTAATGGCTTCATGACGCCAGCAGTGTGCGCTAGAGATGGCATAATGCTTCTTTCTCTTTCCCACATGATACAGTTATGTTAACGCAAATCTACAATCAGTTCGAAAGTGTATAACATAAATCTATTTCGCAATTTGTCATATTTTATAATATAGGATAAAAAATATAATTTAAATATATCTTTCTAGACAAGCAATCCTGGCGGGCGCGAAAGAGAAACGCGCTGCCCTAGCGCGGGAAAGAGCGGAGTTGATGGCGAAAGATAATGCTGAGCAAGAGATTAGAAGGGATCTACTGCAGAAGACATGTGACTTATTCCACAGTAATTTATTTCTCACTTTTTATTAATTCTTTTCACGTATTTTCAAATAAGTTAAAACTAACAGCCAAATAAACGATTTATCTATCTATTTAACTAAATATTACATGTCATTTCTCGCGACTTCATACGCTTTTTGTGACAAAAATACTATTTTATTAGGATTCGTTCATCCGTTAGGTATGTATATATTTATATGTACGTATATATATCTCTTAGAGTTACAAATCTGTAATACAAACTTACAAAAACTCTATTCTTTTCAAAGTTATCCTTTTTATTTGTTAAATATAAAAAGGTTTCTACATTTCAGAATTTGAAAAGCAGAAGCTGGACTTTCATAACAAGAAACAGATGCAAGCGGAGGTAAATATTAATAGACTGTCTGATATTGGTAGTAAGACTTAAAACCCTTTAACACAAACTGAAAACTATACGAGTAGATGGTATTGTGACATCTATTTAATATAAATGTCATATATAAAAATTAAAGAGACTGAATGTAACCGATACCAAAAAGAAATTATAATTTTTAATTCGTAACTAATTCTCCGGTTAACAAAAAAACACAAAATCAAACATAACCTCGGTGGTCTAGCGGTCTAGCACACCGCTTTACGACCGATGATCGCGGGTTCGATTCCTCGCACGGCACAAACATTTGTATTCATGAGTATGATTGTTTGTATCGGCCTGGGTGTTTTCTATGTATAATATGTATATATTTACAAAATAAATCTATGTATATGTATCAGTCATCTAGTATCCATGACACAAGCTTTAGGTAGTTTAACTTGGGTCTAGATGGCGCTGTGTGACTTGTCCTGTGATTATTATTATATTATTATTATAGATGGAGTAATCAGAGGCATTATGTCCATATTATTGTGAATCAACACTTGATATTGGGAAAGGGATTGTTAATTATGTGGACTATATTTGACCCTAATAAATTAGTGCTGGTTAATATTTGTATTCACACGTTTCGACTTGTAAAATGTGATTATTTAAAAGAGCAACATTCAAGTTCCTTGCTCGTTCTTCTTGTGATGAGACAGCTTTCCGAATGAGCGGTAGATTAAAAAAAAAATGCTACGAATAGTCGTAGCATTTTTTTTAATCTACCGCATTGAATTAAGTTTATTTGAATAAATGATTTTCTATTCTATTCTAACCTATAAGGATAAAATTTGGTAAAAGTGTTGAATAAAAGACTTATTTGTGTAATATTTAATTATTTTATTCAAAAACAGACTATAGATATCATGCTTCTTATGCTGTTTGTTACAGTGGCAACAGTACCTCCGCTGTGATGGACTCCCTGATCCCCGCGTCGTGACCCAGATGAACACATACTTACACCTGTGGCAGCTGAATCCCAAATGCGATGATAACGAACTCGAGAAACGATGCATTGAAGCCCTACCTGTAAATATTTATTTTACACTAGCTGCAACTTCGTCCGCGTGGAATTTAACTTTATTTTTCTAATATAAAAGAACTTTTCTAAAACAAAAGTTACTCCTTATTACATCAGCTACCTGCCGAATTGTAAAAAATGTTATTTTGGTGTATTTATATTCATATGCATGTAATAAAAAACGGTTATTTCAATATTACAAACACACTGTAAAATAAAGACACTCCATTTTTATTTATATGTATAGACTGTGATAGTTGTAAGATACGTTTGAAATTATACTTCGGTGAATAGTAGTTTGTGTATGGTGTACTTATAATGAACTAGCTGACCCTGCAAACGTTGTGTTGATATGTAAATTAAAATAGCTATTAAAAAATGTATTGGGGTTGGTTATAGAATGGTGAAAATTTAGGGTTGTATGTATTTTAATGTCACATTACATAAAAATAAAAATGCCTAAATAATTTTGCCCAAAAAATAAAAAATAAATATTAGGAGTGGATATTACAATCCTTATCACTTAGGGGTATGAAAAATAGTAGCGGATTCTCAGACCTACTGAATATGAATATACAATTTCATAAAAATCGATCCAACCGTTTCGGAGGAGTATGGTCACTGACTTTGTGACACGAGAATTATATGTATAAGATTAAAAACACATGGCAATGTATATTGAAGAGCGGGATGTACCTGACATAGGCATTGCTATGCTTACTAGATCATCCCAACACTGTGTTATTGGGGGGAAAGGGGATTGTTAGTAATGTGGACTCGACCCCATTACTAGCAATGTACCATGTCAGGTTGACCTGCACGCGGTTCCCCCTGGAAACCATCATGATAAATTCCTGGTGAATTTGTCACGATGGGCTAACTGACCTGACCTCATGTTCAGCTTGTCATCCTCCACTGGTGCTCCGCGACCATAAACCATTAGCGCAGGCGGATGCATCATTCCATTATCATCCATAACAAAAAAAGCCCTTATTACTAAGGGATATTAAAAAAAACATTGTGTTATTAACTCCACATATTACGTTTCAGATGTTGGAAATGCTAGAGGAGTTCGTAGCCAACTCAAGACAATACACGCCACTACAGGCTCAAAGCTACAATGAAGTAAGTCAATGTAATAGAAGTAGGAAGGGAAAAACATATCACGCCGACCCCGAACAAATGGGATAGGGAAGAAGCAGATAATGATGATGATGATGACTAATGTTTGACGACCTCGGTGATCTAGCGGTTTAGCACACTGCTGTAATTCCGATGGTCGCGGGTTGAATTCCTCACACGGCACAAACATTTGTATTCATGAGTATGATTGTTTGTATCGGTCTGGGTGTTTTCTATGTATATTATTTATATATTTACAAAAAATATATAACTAAGTATTTACAACAGTTGTCTATTGCCCATAACACAAGCTCTGCTTACCGTGGGACTAGATGGCACTGTGTTAATTGTCCAGGGTAATTTTATTTATTTATTATTTTTTATTATTCTTAATGTACCTATATTTTTGAATAAAACATATTCTATCTAGATTTCCTTCATTTCATAGGTCCGACTAGCACTCCGCGAGCAGCTCTCAAACGCAATCGAACTTGCGTCGTACACCCTACTGCGAGACTTGGAGAATCATCTAAAGTTCGACTCCATAAAACTGGCCACGTACCAACGGGAGTTTAAAGGCTTGCGGCTGAACTTGTGGGTCGCAGTTAGAATGCCTACGAGGAAACCTAAACCAGTGGAACCTGATCCGTAAGACTTTAAGTAAATTCTCTAAGTTGTGTTCGTGGTCATATCATACACAGTTATACTATAATATAGTAGTAATAAGCTTGGAAAATTCACACAGCGCTTCTAGTCCCAAGCTAAACTAAGCTTGTGTGGGTACTAGATAACTTATATAAATACTTAGATTTTTATTGTAAATAGGTACATAATATACATAGAAAACACCTATACCAATAAAAACAATAATACTTATGAATACAAATCTTTGCATCATGCGAGGAATAGAACTTGCGTTTCATGGAAAATAAGGCGGTCTGCTAAACCACTAGACCTTTTAAAAACTACAACACAGCTTCCAAAACAAGACCCTTAGCAGCAGAAATAGTTCACACAAAAGTGCCAGCACAGACGACTTTAATAAAGTGTAAAAAGAATAATGTACATAATAGTTTTAAGATATAAACGTTTTGGGAATTAGCGATAAGTTTAGAAAAGGACAAACTTCTTCGCATTACATGGATTCACCGTGCAGGTCTCGGGTGCGCAGCCAAATTTGATAGGAGTCTGCTACCCGCTATCTCTGCTGCTATACCTCTTGCTCCCACTTTGACTGCATATAAATTAACCACTTAGGCGGTTTTCGTAATATTTATTTATTTTATTGGATCGTCATTAGGTCTATCTGTTTCACATGGTACAGTGAGCTCTACTAATATTACACATCTAGTTTTTTTCGTATATAGGAATATATTCGATCTGGATGGTGAAACACCTACACCCTCTGAGATTTTTAATGCTTTTCGTAAGTTCTAATAATTTAATAAATGAGTTAAATAACGTGTTCTTTAATACCTTTTTTAGAGAACCAGTGGAGCTTTCCTTTCCGTCGATGCGCGTTGGCGTGAAACTGCCCAAAATCATCGATGGATCCTGCATTTGCGTCAGAGCCGCTCGGTCTATGCTGGACTTGCTTAGCGAAAGTTCTAGAAGTTACGCTTTAGCAGCTGATATGCCCAACAGGTATGAAGGTATGTGTTCTTACTTATGACTGACTGTTACCTGTGAGTTCATGTATTTTTTAATAAAAGAGTACCTGTATCCATTTTAGTATATTTTCATTAAAATACAGATAGACCCTGTTTTACGTTAGGTACTAGTAAGAATAATGGAAAATATATCTGGTAAATCTTGCTAATATTATAAATGCAAAAGTTTGTTAGTATGGATGGATGTTTGTTACTCTTTCACACAAAAACTGCTGAACGGATTTTCATGAAACTGTACAGTAACATCAGAATAACACATAGGCTATAATTTAAAAAGATATTATGTAAATTATAAGTTGCGAGGGTCAAATAGTATAACATATTTGTTGAAAATCTTGCATGAACAAATTTTGGATTCTACTAATCTTTAAACAGGCTAATGAGAACTTACAACTTTTATTCAATGAATCACTTACATATTTACTGACAGTTATTGTAAATCCTAGTTAAATGAGGACTATAGGTAAATGTCACATATTTTATTCATTGTAAATACAATTTTTTCATATAAATATCGTAGTTAATTGTAATGTAGTAATTGTGTTTTGGTTGGTGTAAACCCTGTTGGTGAACTTATAAATAAATATTTCAGATCTATTCATATTCAATGTGAAAGAGCATGTCGATATTGACAAGCTGAAGAAAGTACAAGACGAAATCAGGTCGAAATTCTACAAAGAGATACGGGAGAAGATAAAAGAGTTGGAGAACTTCTTAAAAGCTAACCCGTGAGTTCATCGCTTTTTTAAAATGGACGATAATAGAATGGTACACTCGTCTGCATTAACAACGTACGAAGCAATGGATTCATGAATCCTCTTTACTAATAATTACTTCTCCTCCAATTCATAAGAGCCTGTACCATACTAGTAGCCTATCCCGGATATGCCCGCGTGCAGGCCCTCGTCGAAGTTCACCTGTCGATTTTCTATGTGTTACATATTCTATATTAACATAACGTACAGGCTGTTATTCTGGAAGAATGTACATTTGGAACAGTGACACAATCTGAGACCCAGTGATTCTGTTGTTGACTTTCTTTATAAAAAAAATCGGTCTCTCTCTGTTCACAATATTGGTTCAGTATAAGATTAAGTTTAAGTATATTATTATATTGTTCCACAAGAGTCACGAGTAGTATCAAGAATTAGAGGCCGAGTGATTTATGTTTATTTATATTGAAAAAACACAATTCCATTTACAGATACACAAAAAACGAGAAGGAGAAAGACAACTTGGATAATTTAAATATGGCGGAACCGCCATTCCTACCGGATCCTAGGACTTTTATATCCGAACAAAATGGTTGGTAGTAATATGCAATTTCATGCTCTCTTCTGTACACACACATATGTACAGTTATTTTGTTATTTGTATAACTGACATTATTATTTTCTATTTATATATTGACTTCAGCTGCGATGTGATCAGCAGAAGTTTTCGTAGGGCTAATTGTTTATGTTTAAATTTATGTGTATATATATATATATATATATATATATAGAACTATTGTATATATATGGAATTAATATAGATATATAACCTTAGTTAAGTCTCTTTTCTATTTGTTTTTTTTTTTTGCTTAATAAAGTTATTATTATTATTATTATATGGGTGTGTGTGTGTGACACACAGCGCCATCTGATCAGAAAATCAGCAGAGCTTAAGTTATGGATACTAGACAACTGACATGAATACATAGACGCATTAAGCTATGTATAGAAAACAGAGACCTATTACAAGTAATCAAACTCATGAATACAAATGTTCGTACCGTGCGAGGAATCGAACCCGCGTCCATTGGATGTAAGGCGGTGTGGTAAGCCGCTAGACCACTGAGGCCGTGAAATGGTTCTATTGAGTAAATAGTTTACAAAACAACAATACATTTCAAATAGGTTCAATAAAATGAGGACGTGTACTCAATTCAATTATTTTCGGTGTCAGCCATGAATTTAAAGATGTTTTTGCATTAATTCGAATTAATTACAATTAATTTCATTACTTTTAAGAACGCCCTAACCTAGTAGTTTATTATCCCGACATAAAAACCTCTAAAGTTGTGTATTCAAATCTGACCTACATTAATAACTTGTGTGAGTGATAGCTAACTGTGTCACTATAGCACAGTCAACTGTGCTATAGTGATAGGTAACTGTGTCACTATTGCACAGACAACTGTGCTATAGTGATAGGTAACTGTGCCTCTGGCTATCTAGTTGAGATTTCAGTCATAATTTTATTAATTTTTAAATATTATCTACTAAATAATAATAACAATAAATATTTTATCTCTGTTTTAAATACATACATAATATACATAGAAAGCATCCAGACCGATACACAAACACAAATGTTTGTAATACTCTTTTTTCGGACTACTGTAATGCTTTTGGCCGCAGCTGGCCTTTACAGCTTCACCGGACGATAGGGGGCGAGTGCAGATGGCATTCCAAACCCGCGGAAGGACTTATAGAGCGGCTGAAGGCTAACTACGACTTTAGTCTGAGGGTATCGCTAGGGGTTCGAACCTCGTCTCAGGCCGTCGTAATATCGATCCCCGTTTGAATTGGATGGAGGATCGATCGGAGGGGGATATAACGTTGTAATACCAGCAACTTTCATCAGTAAGGCAATGTGGTAAAACCTCGGTGGTCTCACCGAGGTTTTCAAGTTATGGAATAAGCAAAGAGAAAAGTGTGCCAAGAACTTAATTCTTTACTTTTGTGTTTTTTCTATTTTGTCCTAACTATTGCCCTGTCTTGTTCATATTACACACGAATACAACTATGATGTTTCACTTGCAGAATTAGCGTTCACGAAGTACCTCAAAATGTGTATGACGAGAACACGCTCTGGTGAAATTAATTTACGGAAATACAGGTGAATCATTACATAGTATAAGACAAAGTCGCTGTCGCTGTCTGTCCGTCCCTATGTATGCTTAAATCTTTAAAACTACGCAACGGATTTTGAAGCGGTTTTTTTAAATAGATAGAGTGATTCAAGAGGATGGTTTATATATATAATACATGTACACCCGTGCGAAGCCGGGTCGAGTAGCTAGTATTATATAACAGAGCTGTCTAAAATATATCAGGCGGCCCTCGGCTTGAATTGATGTGGCCGGCTAAATATTTGTTTTCTTTATTTAAACAATAACATTTTTGTGTAGAGAAAATTATATAAAACTATGTATGATTATTTTTTTGGAATTTCAAATGATTTGATGAGCAATTTCTTTTCTCTTCTATTCTTATAAGCATGCGCTGCGTCTAGCTACTACACTAATATTAACGTTGATGTTCACAGAATTGTAAAAGATAAATTAATGAAAAAGTAATGCAGTCATAAAATAATTATTTTATACCTCCATTTTGTTTTTGAAAATATTTTGCAGCTCCGCTATAGATTTAGTTATTTTTATTGGCCCTAGATCCTATTTAGTTTGGACAGCTCTGATATAGAGTAGCAGAGTAGAGGGACAGAAGGGACAGAGAGTGGCCTCACTGTCCCTCTAAGTTATAGACCGTTTTATCTCGATTATTACTTCTAAATTTTATTATTATATAATAATAAAATTTAGAAGTAATAACAGCATTTGTAACAGTTTATTATTTGAGACAAATAAACATTATTATTATATTATTATTGTCCTCGTATAAACTTCTACAAGATTTTCATATATGAAAAATTGGTCAAAATGTGATGTTCGATGTTACAGAGCCAAACAATTTTGATATACGAGATTTTATAAGATTTTTATTGTATATTCATACGAGACAAAATTTTTTAACATTGCGTGAAAGAATAACAAACAAACATCCATCCATACTCACAAACTTTCGCGTTTATATTATTAGTAAGACATTACCTGTACCATGCAATATAACTGCCTTATCTTCCCATCAATAAAATCAAATCTTAGTCTAATTAGTCTTAAGATTTTGTACAAAGTCATCCATTTTATTTTTGTATTATACCATACACCAGAATGTTTATTCAGGATATGCGGTGGTGTACTCCATTTGGATCTGCTGACGACGCCGCCACAACCGAAACGAATGCGGGGCTCCATCACGCTCACCACACGTGAGTAATTTTGTTTTTATAATAAAACTAGCTTTGCCCTCGGTTCACCGGTGTGAAATTTATAGCCTGTGTTTTTCTGATGTATAAGGCATATTACAGTAAAATTTCATCAAAATTCATTCAGTAGTTCTTGCGTGAAAGAGTAACAAACATCCATCCATCTATCCAACTATACTCATAATCTATCGTGTTTATAATATTGTGAGTAAGATAGTGTTTGTTTGATATTTTCATTTATTTGAGATGAGATGAGGTAAGTATTTTGTTAATAGTGTTTGTCTTTGAATGTCCCATTATAATTATGAAAATAAAGAATATAACGGTCTCGGTAGTCTAGCGATTTACCACACCGCCTTACTTCTGATGGTCGCGGGTTCGATTCCTCGCACGATACTATCATTCGTATTCATTACTATGATCGTTTGTACAGATTTGGGTGTTTTTTATGTACTATTGTGTGTTTGTTATTATATAAACATTATAATTGTCTAGTACCCGTAACTCAAGCTCTGAATAGCTTGGTACTAGATAGCGTTGTGTGAATTGTGAGAGATATTATCATTATCATCATCATCATAATTATCACTATTGTTATATACAAATAAAATCTATTTACAATATTTCATAAAAATACCTTAATTATTCAGGTAAATAAAACAACGTAGTATTATATCATTAAATTTATATGTACATATATTATTAATAAAAATAGGCTTAGAATTGAACCTGCAATTCCTAAATCATATTTCATTATCATCCGAAGTAAACATCTCAAGCCATTTCTTGTCTAAGTTCATTTTAGATTTGTTGCTAAAATATTACATTAAAACATTCTTCTGAATACAATACCCGTGTAAGATCATATCCATAGAGTTAGCAAATGACTATAATAAATAGTAACTCTAGTATTTACTTAGGTAAAAACTATTCCAAACATATAATACCAGAATTATACTGACAAGAGATTTTATGCACAGAAGGCGGTCTTGACGCAAACAAACATCTCTTTCAGACAACATAGTTATCCAGAGTGAAACAGCAATACTCATTTTGTTTCTATCTAAAGATTAAACTAGCTATATCTCTGACAAGCTAGACTCTTCAGCTATCAATAATATCAATATGCATGTATGATGTCTAAAATATATTGGCATTTGCTGTCACATCTTTGAAACTCTTAGTGGCTATCTAAGTGCCCAACTGATAGAAATAAGAATCAGCGCCTCTTTAGACTACACCAAGAATATCATGTCATCAAGTAGCGTCATGGCATCTTTTAAGATCAGAGTAATAGTATCCCTGAGACCAGATGGTAAGCAGTAACCGACGACTTTATGAATAGCAATATATATGTATCACTTACCATGTGGCACCCGAAATCCAACAATACTACTTGTTCGTTGTCATTCCGTAGAACTAAGATGTCATGCCTTATCCTGTAATTTTACTGTCATGTCTCATACTATCAACAAACTTTACAAAGCAATCACTTTGGATGCAAAAATAAGTCGTAGTCCGGTCCCTTAATAGTTAACACTAGGCTTGCAAGCTATATCTGAACTCTATTCACTACCTGATGATGCCTCGTTTGGAGAACTCGTGTCGCAATTGGGTGTAGATTCAATCATTATTAGAATTTGATCTAATAGAGAAGGTTATAAAGCTTCCAGTGGCAGAGGTCAAGTTTCCATACTTAATATTTGTAGTCCCACAGATAGTAGTGGTAGTGGAATTATACAAAATAATATAAAACCATTAAGTGAGAAATAAGTGAAACAGAGAACTCGCACAGACGAGTATACACAAAGTCTCCATACCATGCATAAGCTATGTTTAGCTTGCAATGCAAGGTTATTATGGCAGGTTTTATTGATTGTCATAAGTGAATGTGCTCGGTAAGGCAATGATCAAGCCAAAGTACTATTCTTATTGCGTTGCTGCACCACCAAGCTCTTTTTCAATCTCTTCCAAAATACCGCTTGTTCCGATGTCGCCTTTGGCCATACGATGTAGGTTTTCGTTAACATTAAATAGTGTAATGTGGTCGGGCGCAGGCCCCTCGGGATTTCTTCTAGTAACACTAAGAGCAGATCTTCTCGGCGCGTCTCCAACAGTCTGTAATATATGTGGTATAGAGTATTAGCGGCGAAGTGCCTTGTTTTCCGGTGGTATCATGTTTTTTTTTTATTTAAACTACAATGATGGCAATCAAGCATACGGCCCATCTGATGGTAAATGGGTACCGTAGCCTATATATTTACTTAAGCGGTTCCGGATAAAGTACACAAATACAATATTATAAAATTTTCTCGTTTATATAGATGATAATAGAATGGTGTCTCCGCCTGTGCTAATGGTGGCAGAGCACCAGTCGAGAATACCATGATGAACATGCAGTCTATTAGCAAATCATAATAAATTCACCAGGAGTTATCAACGATGGCTCCCAAGAGGGCCCTCTTGTCAACCTGACATGGTACATTGCTAACAGTGGTGCAGTGCTACTTATCCTATTACAATAACGAAAACTTCCCTCCCATTTTGAAGTTTGAAGTCCATTTCACGTACAGCGTTTGAGGTGTCCTAAAATATTTGCTAATTTATAACCAAGTAACGAACAGTTTTTCTCATTAAACTATTTATTAATTATTGTAGGGACCTCTTTTTTTTTTATTTATACAAAATTTTTTGGCTGAACTTGTTTGTATGGACATTTATTTAAAATATTGTTGTAACGAACCTGTGCTGTGCCAAATGCATCTCGAACTGACACCATTGGCTTCGCAGGAACTGCTTAGAAAGTACCAACATTATAGTCCTAGAACGGTCCATACATGAAACTATATTCTCTAGAATTGAGAGGCCCACCTGCAACAAAACAATAGTTTAAGCACACAATAATTGACACTATATGAAAATTAGAGACAGCGTCATCTAGTACTAGACAAGTAATATAAATACTCTATACTTTTTTGTTAGTAACATGTTTACTATACATAGAAAACATACAAATATGTGTACCATTTTAGGAATCGCACCCGCGACTGTCGAAAGCAAATATATTTTTAGAGAAGTAATTACACTAATAATGTTCTGCATTTAGTTTATTTATTGCTTAACAGTCGCTTTTTTTATATTCAAGCCGTCTAGTGCTGTTTATGTATATTATAATTGTTAGACGGCTACCGCTAATCAAGTGGACAAACAGCTTTTGTCGATTCAATTACATTAAAAAAAGAAACCTCTTTAAACTCACCTGGAAATCTCTCTCATGTAAGCATACACTGACACTACACTCGGTTTCCAAATGAGGCAATAGATAATCCAGCATCCAGGCTCTATCATCGTTGCAATAGGATACGAAGACGTCATAAGTATATATCTTTCCATCTGAAAATATAAAAAATCATCTATAGAAGTAATAATGTGTCTATTCAAAAGTACTTATATTAAATTTATTTCTATTTCTACAATTTAGTAAAGTAAGAAACGTTTACTATCAGATGGACCATATACTCTTTAGCCATACATCGTGACATAAAAAGTTATTAGGCGATGAGTAATATTCTTAGAAGATCGGAATTTAAACTTGAATTAATCAATTAAATTTCAAATTATCTTCAACGTTCAAATTTTAAAGTAGGTAAGTATTCTTTCGTTATACCTACTGTCTCATCTACTTCTGTTGCCAGCAGCTTGCCTGGTCAACTGTGTTCGGGTTTGAAGGGTTAGATTCGTCGGTAAATTAAATCCATGACTCATTGGCCTTTAGAATGGTAACACATGAAAGATATTACAAATTGATTTGTGATTCCACAATATTTTTTTGAATGCACAGTTCGGATTTATTATACCGTTTTTTTAGAAATCTTACTTTACCGTCTGTTTGTACAAATCAAATAAATTCTTAAAGCGTTCATTAAGTTAATACTAGAATGACAATAGATTCAGTTGCTCATACGTTCTCGTTTTTTATTGTTACTATGCAAGTATACAATTCAAGTTACCTTCATTAATATCGGTTTTCGATATCAAACTCAACGTGGCTGAATTCCTCATAGTTATAAAGAAATAACCAAATCTTCTTCTGCATATAAATATTATTAATAATAATGGTAATAAGATTGTTGGTAGTATCAATAACAGCAGCATGTTAGCGCCATTATTGAGGTAATTTTTTGGTAACCCACGCTGCCAATCTATACATGTTTTCACACTGATAAAACTCATATATGTATTCTTATACTCATGAAAACAGGCATACGAGTATAAATCATAATCTATTATTAAGAATTTATGGTTTCTATCTTCATAATTCTTCTTACATTTCTCCTTGTCACACAGTTTCGAAATGTTCACTCTTAATTCTATTATTCTGTTGAATTCGCTATCAGCTATATGATAATTAGCCGCTTTTAGAGTGTCTTCAGTGGTCTGTGTTGATAATTCTATTGCTGTTTGAATCTGTTCATTATCATTTCTTGCCGCCAGGTCGATAAGTTCCCTTGAGTGACAGTTACACACTACATGATTCCCAGATAACGATACGAAAGATATAGTAGCAATGTCATCTAGCATTTCCTCTGAGATTAAATTTAAATTATTATCTTTCAAAGACAAAAACCGCAAATGCGGCATAGTGGAGAAAATGGGTGCTATCCAAGAAGCAAATCTGTTTCTCTCTAAGTCTAAAATCTTTAAACTGGTCAACGAAGCGACCACTCTTGCTGTAATTACCATTACTTCGTTGTTCACCAATTTCAATACTTCAAGTTTTCTAAAATTGTAGAAATAATGAAAATTTTCAAATCCTATTTCATTTGCGTATAAAACTTCTAGGGTGTCTTCTAAACCCGCCAAAATATTAGTGTTATCTAATATTCCATAGTTTCCCGACAGGTCTAAATATTTTACAGAAGTCTTACTCAAAGCTTTTTCGGGAACGTTTCTGACTTTACTTCTACATAATGAGAGTCTTTGGAAGTTTTTCCCCAATCCAGTCAGTACT